GCTTCCTATGCAAATTCCAATTGGTGATACATGGACCGATCAACATTGTTGACCAGTCTGCAAATAGCCTGTTATAAATTGATTCAAGGATCCAGTGCAGATATAGTGACATGAAACAATGGCCTGTATATTCTATGTATATGCTTTACCTGTATTGTATTCTCTACAGTAGATACTTTGCAGTATATCCTGTGAAGCGCTTTGAGACGTCTCAAAGACGTGATAAGGCGCTACATCGAATGCGAGGATTATTATTATTAGCATGATTATTATTGTGTATATACAGCAAGCAGAAAAAGGAGCCATCTTTCACCTGCCTATTTCTTTAAGAGAGTGTCAACAATTGAAGTGAGGAGGGGGCAATAGGAGAACAGCCAGGGCTAAACACCCAAACCAACCTTGCCCTCAACCCAGTGTTCACACACTATTTATTTTCAGCTCACGGACAAGGAGCAGTGGACTGTTTTTTTCCCCTGTTTAATCCCTCCGACAGTGAGGCGAAGTCAGGACAATATCCATTTTCAATCAGAATCCCAGCTGTAGTGCCTCATGCCCTACAAAAGTATTAATTTGACTGTCTATATTGAACTCTACGTGATAGGTTCCAAACCTCTGCAAAGAGGTGACTGGAATAGATGAGTTCGATTGCAAGACAGCAAGCTGTTATTTATATAACATGTCCTGGACCAACCTTGATTTTTTTTTGGGGGGTGGGGGGAAGTAGGCTGTTGTGAGAGAAACAGAATTGTGCCCACATCTCACCAAGAAAGTTGCAGGTTGCCAAATTGCCCTGAGTTTAATTGCTTTCTCTACGTGACCCCCGTATTTCATTTCACCTTCACTTTTGTGACAATCAAGCACTTTGCCAGATTTCTACCGTGCAGCTGGGCTATTATGGCTGTCATCCATCAGAGTTATACTCAGGCAGGTACACAAACAGATGGGGCGTTGTATTAAGTCCTCTCACATCTCACGAGAAAACAACGACACGATTCGTGTTCAAATCCATTCACTCCCTGGCACCTCCCTACCTCTCCGACCTCCTCACTCCCCAATCCACCACCTGGCGCCTCCCCTCGACTGGCTCAATCCCTCCGCCTTGCCCTCTCTCTCTCTCTCCTCTTTCAAGTCCCCCCAAAGACTTTCCTGTTCGACCGTGCTTACGGCCACCTTCCCTTTCCCCCCGGCTTGGAGTCAGGTTCCACCACTGTTGAGCGCTCTGAGACGCTACCCTGGTTGGAGGGTGCTGTATAAGTGCAAGTTGTTGTTGTTGTCAAAAAGAAAAGTTATCTTCTGAAGCATTATATCCAACCATTGCCTTCAAATTAAATGCAAACATGCGCCTAAATTGTTTCATGCCCCTGACTGATTCTGATATCATTTAGATGAGGCAGATAATTGTGAACGGTCTAATTATTGCCTGGACTGTAAGAACACAACTGATTCATATCCCGGAGGATATAAATTCCGCATATTGTTTGGCACAAAGGCATTTTCAATGTGTCTGTATCAGTTTTTTGTTATGTGTGTCCCATATTAATTTATTTTCTATTCCCAGATCTTTATTTCAATTATCCTATGCAACAAATAAACACGTGACTTTAAGACTCGAAGATAAGCACCAGCTACGCCTTGGGGAGGAATTGTAATCAGTCGTATGTTGTATTAGGAGTGAAGGTAAAGTTTAAAAAGAAATCAATTTACTGATCACAGATTCATTGTGATACTATACCTTGTAAGTTCTACCCAGTATATGCAAAGGGCCAGGAATACTTTGTGTGGGACATAACATAAAAACACGGCTGTCACATAAACAATATCGCAAAGAAAGTGCTGAAGTATTTATCGAAGATTCTAGGAAGGAATTGCTGTAACAACAACGTCAACAACTTGCACGTATTTAGCACAGGGTAGCGTCTCAGAGCGCTTACACTTGCACACACATTATTGACGCTTGTGCTCATTGTATCCAGGGACGGGTGGCTCCAGATCAGTTCCTCAATTGGTCTGGATCCCATGATACAAATGAATCCATTTGGGATGCACACGGACCCATTGATAAGACCACCGGCGCAGTCTCAAAACACTCACCGACCACGGCCACCTCACTCACAAAAAGCAACCTGTTTATCGTTACATACCACCTTGAGTAGAGAAGGGGGGAATTTAGTTATTCCTTAAACTAAAGAAAGCAATAAAATTGATTCAACTGGAACAGCTATTAATATTTCCCTCTAGCTATAGTAAATAACACCACATTACACGGTTTGTTAAATATAATTGTGTTCCAATCATAACACAGGTAGAATGCATTACATTTTTGGATGCTGGTAGAACATTTGTTGCTACGCTACTTCTGGGCACTCCACGGTGCAGTGCGATTGCCAAAGAGTTCCTCTAAGGCGAGCTGTCACTCCAGTGCAATACTGGGAGAACGCCGCATTGTCAAAGGTGCCGTCCTTCGAGTGAGACGTTAAACCGACAGCACAATAAGGCGGATGTTAAAGATCCCATGCTACTACTTGGAAAGAGAAGGGCTTTGTCTTCTGTTACCAGCCCTGAAATAAATCGTCAGCTATCTGGCTCCAACAAATCAATCCCTCGGGGCACCACTGTTACTTAAAAGCGCTATGATTTACATGAGCTGCATGTGATAAATATCAAATGAACGGCTAAATTGATCCCCATTGATTGCTCCGGTGTTCATTATAAACGGAATAAAGTGGCCAGCAAAGTGGCTTGAGGCTGTGAGATGTCAACTGGGTTTCAAAAAGTAGTAGCAAAACAGAAGAGATGTTTGGTGCAGATTTTAATAGTTCAATACAGCTCTTGAACATTTTTTCTTCTCACAAAGACTAGCTGTTTGTAAAGTGATTGAAGATGTTCGAATGTAAGTTGTAATGGAATATATAGTATCAAAACTGGAACAAGAAGTAAATAGTTAAATACTAGAGATAAACCCCCCAACACCATGTCTTAATACTTGCTCCGTGTCCTATTTTCCTATTAAAATCAAAGTTTTAATTTGGAAGCTATTTCCCTGCAGTTCTTAATTAACAGTGAATTTCCAATATTCTGCACCATCTTAAATTTTAAGACAATAATCTTAAATCTAAGATCTCCTCGGCTCCTGTCAACGTCTTCACTCCTGCGGATCTAAACCCCTCAACTCCCTGGGCTCTCTCTCAGACTCACCGAACCAGTGCGCAATCTAGGCGTCTGGTTCGACCCCCAGCTGTCTTTCCTCGCCCACAGCCGGTCCCTGACCAGGACCACCTTCTTCTACCTCCGCCACATTGCCCGCCTACGATCGTACCTTACCCCAAATGCAGCCGAAACCCTCGTGCATGCGGTTGTCACCTCCCGCCTGGATTAGTCAAACGCGCTCCTTGCCAGTCTTCCCAGCTCCACTATTCACAAGATCAGCTCATTCAGACTCTGCCGCCCACATACTGATCTGAACCAAACTCCGTAGCCACATCTTATCGGTTCTGGCTCAGACTCCGTTGGTTCCCCATCACTGAATGCATTGACTTCAAGAACCTCACACTCGTGTTCAAATCCCTTCACTAAGGCACCTCCCGATCTCTACGACCTCCTCACTCCCCAATCCACCACCCGAAGCCTCCACTCGACTGGCACCGGCCTCCTGCTCGTCCCTCGCACCCTCCACCCCACCATCGGAGGTCGCGCTTTCAGCCATTACGCCTTGAAGCTCTGGAACACTCTCCCTCAATCCCTCCACCTTGCCCCCTCTCTCCCCTTTTTCAAGTCCCCCCTGAAAAACTTCCTTTTTGACCGTGTTTACGACCATCTCCCCCTCCCCCACCCAACCGCCGGCTCGGAGACAGGTTTTGCCACTGTTAAGCGCTCTGAGATGCTACCCTGCGTGGATGGCGCGATATAAGTGCAAGTTGTTGTTCTTGTTAAACCATTTAGTCTAAGATCATGAGACCTCCAATGTTTCAAAATATAATTGTTAAAAATGTTTTCAATAATAAAACACTGAGCGATTTCTGCTGTATGTCAATTCCTTTCCAGCATATTCTATTTGCTTCATCTTTGGACGTTCATCAGACGGGAGCCAAGCCAAAGTGCCCAAGGCTCCTTTTTTTGCGGTGTCTCTGAGTAGCATATATATTATAAAATTAAGATTCGAAATAGATTGTACACAAATTAATAATAATTTACTGGCAATGTGGCAGCCTTGACACATGTTACAAATGAAGAGTGTTTCATCCTGGGGGAGTTTGATATGCATAACTTATCTCTCCTTTAATGATAGGAACGGTGTTAAATACAAATTGAGCCTGCCTTAGAAGAGTCATTTGTTCATGTGGAAAATAACAACACTTGCATTTATACAGCATCCTTCATGCAGGATAGCCACTCGGCACAGTTTCCTTACTCCACACAGAGCCTAATAATAATCCCTCCAAAAAAACAAAACAATAATAAATTGGTCATTTTTAATCCACGAGTGTTTGTGGGACATTGCTGTGCGCAATTGGCTGCCGCATTCGCCCACAAATATACAGTCAATTCACTTTACAGTGTGTTCTGTGAAGCGCTTTGGGACGTCCTCCTGACGTGAAAAGCGCTATATCAAATGCAAGGATTATTATTATTATTATTATTCTGTGAAGCGCTTTGGGACATCTAGAAGACGTGAAAAGCGCTATATCAAATGCAAGGATTATTATTATTATTATTATCATTGGTTGGACACCAATCAAGGGAGAAGGTGACCATAGCTGTGGTTGAAGAGATAGGTCTTAATGAGGGATTCCAGAGTTTAGGGGCTTAGTTAGGCTAAAGGCTCAGTGATGATGGCACAGAAGGTCCAGACAACTCACAGCAGGCCTGTTAGCTGAGCGAAGGGGGCAAACAAACAAACTAGTGTGGCCCAGGCAGGTGAGAGAGGATAGGGAGGTGCTAGGGTGTGAAGGGAACTGTATTTGAGGGTGAGAATCTTGTACGTCGATCTCTTCTGGAAACAGGGAATCAGGGGAGCCTGGCGAGGATTGGGGTGATGGCACGGAGTTTGGTGCAAGTGAAGATGCAGGCAACGGAGATTTGGATGAGCTGAACCTTGTGGATGATGGAACTGGGAAGAGTAACGAGGAATGCATTTGAGAAATCAAGGAGGGAAGTGACAAAGGCATTATCCATTAAACTATATCCATTATAATCTCTCCTCTTAACAATTGCAGCTACAAAGCCCTGCTGGAGAGGTGTTCAAGAATAGGAAGGGATGTTGATATGTTGTTTCCACTTGTTTTTTCAGTCCATAACCAAAGGATATAAATACGAGGATATAAATGCGATAGTTAGTGATAGATTTTAATAGGTAGTTCAGGAGGAACTTCTTCATGCAGAAGATGGTGATAATAATAATCATAATCCTTACATTTGAAATTGCACCTTATCACGTCATTGAGACGTCTCAAAGCGCTCCACAGAGCATAAAGTGGATTGACTGTGTATTGTGTGGGTGATGCGATGTGGCAGTGAACTGCACACAGCAGTGTCCCACAAACAGGTGTCAATCTACTTTACAGTATAGCCTGTGAAGGACTTTGAGGCGTCTCGATGGCGTGATACAGCCCTATATCAAATGTTAAGGTTTATTATTATATTAACTACAATATCATTATGTAAGCCCAGTACTTATTTTCATCCAGTTTGGCATCTTTACAGCCAGGCTACATGCCACCTCCTGACTAAAATGTGCAATAACCACTTTTACCCAAATTGATTTACTGTTACAGATGTTTCGAAAAGAAAGGAAACCTCCCCCCACCTGGTGGTGGACTGGAATTATATTTACGTGTATAAATGTGGGGGCTATAGGGTTGGGATTGAGGGAGGGGGAAATAATCCCTTAATAAAAATAAATGATAATAATAATAATAATAATAATAAACAAAAAGCAAAGTACTGCAGATGCTGGAAATCTGGTATCGACACAGAAGTGGCTGGGAACACGCAGCGGGTCAGGCAGCATCTATGGAGAGCGGAAAATGAGTCAGTGTTTCAGGTCGATGACCTTTTTGTCAGAACTGACAAAACTAATAATGCTAATTTGGTCACTCAAACCCACGGCTGTTTGTGGGGGACAACGCTGCGCGCAATTGGCTGCCGCGTTTCGCCCACAAATATACACAGTCACTGCGCTTTGCAGTCTACAGGCGTTGATTTCCCGAAGGCTGGACTTTGGTTTTTTTTTATTTTAATATAATAATATATTTTTAAAACACGACGACGACGACGACAACAACGACGACAACAACGACGACGACAACGACAACAACGACAGCAACAACGACGACGTGGCGCTGCTGAATAGCAAAGAGAAGTGGAGAGGTGACGTATTCATTTCATTTCCCCCCCTCACTCCCCTCCCCCCTCTCCCCTCCCCCCTCTCTCCCCTCCCCCCTCTCACTCCCCTCCCCCCTCTCTCCCCCTCCCCTCTCTCTCCCCTCCCCCCCCCTCTCTCCCCTCCCCCCCCCTCTCTCCCCTCCCCCCCCCTCTCTCCCCTCCCCCCCTCTCTCCTCTCCCCTCCCCCCCCTCTCCCCTCCCCCCCTCTCTCCCTCCCCCCCTCTCTCCCCTCCTCCCCGTCTCTCCCCTCCCCCCCCCTCTCTCCCCTCCCCCCCTCTCACTCCCCTCCCCCCCCTGTCTCCCCTCCTCCCCTCTCTCCCCCCCCCCCTCCCCCCCCCCCCCCCCCCCCCCCCCCCCCCCCCCCCCCCCCCCCCCCCCCCCCCCCCCCCCCCCCCCCCCCCCCCCCCCCCTCACTCCCCCCCCCCCCCCCCCCCCCCCCTCCCCCCTCCCCCCCCCCCCCTCCTCCCCTCTCTCCCCCCCCCCCTCCCCCCCTCTCTCTCTCCCTTCCCCCCCTCCCACTTGTTCCCTTTTGACTGCGGGTCACTGCGCCCGGAACCTTTGTGACGCTCTTTCCGCTGTTGGGGGGAGGGGGGGAGGGGTGTGGAGTCCGGACGGGATTTGGTGGCGGACCCGCCCCGCCCCCCACCGGCCTGGTTTCCGCTTCCGCCCCTCAGCCTCTCTCTCACTCACACGCTCGGCCGAGAGCGCGCGGCGGCGACAGCGGCAGCTACAGCCATAGCTACAGCCTCAGCCATAGCCACAGCCATAGCCACAGCTACAGTATGGACACCGACTCCATGTCAGACACCGACAGCCAGTCAGACACCGAGGTCAGTCTCCCCACTCTCCCCCCTCTCTCTCCCCCTCTCTCCTCTCTCCCCCTCCCTCCTCTCTCCCCCTCCCTCCTCTCTCCCCCCTCTCTCCCCCACTCTCTCCCCCCTCTCTCTCCCCCTCTCTCCCCCCACTCTCTCCCTCCCCTCCTCTCTCTCCCTCCTCTCTCCCCACTCTCTCCCCCCTCTCTCCCCCTCCCCCCCCTCTCTCCCCCCACTCTCTCCCACTCCCTCCTCTCTCCCCCTCCCCCCTCTCTCTCCCCCTCTCTCCCCCACTCCCTCCTCTCTCCCTCTCTCCCCCACTCTCTCTCCACCCACTCTCTCCCCCTCCCCCACTCTCTCCCCCTCCCCCTCTCTCCCCCACTCTCTCCCCCACTCTCTCCCACTCTCTCTCCCCCTCTCTCTCCCCCACTCTCTCCCACTCTCTCTCCCCCACTCTCTCCCCCTCACCCACTCTCTGCCACTCCCCCCCCTCTCTCCCCCCCCCCCCCCCCCCCTTCCCCCAGCGCTCTGAAACAGGGAACCTCCTCTCCCCACCCCTCACCGCGGTCTCGTTCCCTCTCACACAAGTCATATCAGTTGGGACCGCACCGTTAATTTGACTTATGTGTAAAGTATGAGTTACATAGAAACAGGAGGAGGCCATTCAGCCCCTCGAGCCTGTTCCGCCATTCTATAAGATCACGTCTGATCTGTACCTCAAGTCCAATTTATAATAATGCTTAATAATCCTTCCATTTGACATCGCGCCTTATCACATCTTCGAGACGTCTCAAAGCGTTTAACAGAATGTCCTGTAAAGTGTAGTGACTGTGTATTTTGTGGGCAAAACTCAGCCGCCAATTGCACACGGCAGCGTCCCACAAACAGTCGTGGATTGAGCGACCAATTTATTATTACTTTTTTTTTCAAGGAATTACCCGCCTTTGCCCCATGTCCCTTGACACCCTGACCTGACAAATCCCTCTCCCCCTCAGTCTTGAGGATGTGAATGGATTCAGCCATAATCCACAGCCTTTTTTGGGGGGAGAGAGTTCCAAATTTCCACTCCCTTTTGGGTGATTCCACTCCTGAATGGCTGAGCTATAATTTTAAGATTATGCCCCCATTCCGGATTCCTTATGTGAAATGTACAAATAGTAGGAAATTCCAGGGCACCTGAGTAGATGTAACGACTGGACGATTATACGGTTTATGCAGGTCAGACTTATGCGAGTTTTACTGTATTCCTTTTTTAAGATATCTGTCTGGTTCCCTCTTGAAAACTACCGTATTCCACTCGCTTGTCGACCCCCCCCCCCCCCGTGCTGTGCGTTACAACAAAATTGGGACTTTGCTACCCTGATCACAGGGTTAACAGGATCGCTGACCTCCCACCCCCTTCCCTCTAGTGACTGTTCAGCCCCCTCCAAGTGCTTCTGATGGGCCAGGATGGCTGGAATTAGGAATTTAACACCCTGGAGTTTGAGGTGGGACGGAGGGAGAGAAAACTGCTCGTGATACTGTTCAATGAGACATTTGTGAACATGGAGCATTCATTCAAAATAAGACACTAATAGCGTTAAGCTCTTTAGGCAATCAAGACTGTCGTTCATCCTTGTTTAAAAATCTAAAGGAAGTTTAAGACTAAATGGTCTGGTGATGTTTCAGTTTTCACGCCTCTGGTACAAAGATGACTGTGTTTCACTTTTCAAATATTAATGTTGTATTTTATTTTCAGCTTCAAGAGGCATTCGCAAAGGGTTTACTCAAGCCTGGTTTAAATGTTGTGCTGGAAGCAAAGAAAAAATGTCCAAATGATGTGGTGAGTTTCTTCTCCTTTTATGGAAAGATGATGTTAGATTTTCTCAACTGAGGAGTTGTTTGGAGCAAATTAGTACAGACCCTGTTCTGTCCATCATATCTCCACTGTAATTATCTGCTTGATAATGTGCTCCCTATGCTACTGAAGCTGATCAGTTTATTTTGCCCCCGATCACAATAATAATAATAATAATCCTTGCATTTGATATAGCGCTTTTCACGTCGGGAGGACGTCCCAAAGTGCTTCACAGAACACACTGTAAAGTGAATCGACTGTATATTTGTGGGCGAACGCGGCAGCCAATTGCGCACAGCAATGTCCCACAAACAGTCGTAGATTGAAAATGACCAATTTATTATTGTTTGTGGTTTTGGAGGGATTATTATTAGGCTCTGTGTGGAGTAAGGAAACTTGCCCAAGGTTTCGCCCTCTGCCTGGAATTGAACTCAGGTCTCTCACTTGCAAAGCGAGTGCTCTAACCACTGAGCTACAGGACTCCACAATGTTTTTAAACAGAATGCCAGCGATCAAGTATCAACAGGAAATATTTCTTCTTGGTTTGAAAAATAAAACTAAAACGTTTTGGTTTCCAGGTTGTTAAATAAAACGTTTCTCCCAGGCTCTTCTTAACAAGATATTATTCCCAAATAATATTGTTCCCCTCGTTCCCAAATAATAGCACAATTGTTCAAGATCCTTCTGACGTGAAAGGTGCTTTTCGCCCACTAAGTATACAGTCAGTTCACTTTACAGTATATCCTTTGAAGAGCTTTGAGACGTCTCGAAGACTTGAAAAGTAACCATATCAAATGCAACGATTGTTATATATAAATGTAATTTGTTGTGGTTGAACTGAGTTGAATGCTGTCGAGTAACTATCAGGATCTCATGTTTTCCTCACAAGGATCTTTATTTCCTGTCATTAAAATAAGAGCTGCGTAGAACAGGGTCATTAATGTAGGTTTTATATCTATAGGAGGGAATGGCGAGGTGCTTAGCAAACTTCAAGAAAGACCTGCCGTGGGTGGAGAGGCTGGACATGACTAATGGCCCAGCTGCAGACATTGTAGCAAAAGCTGAAGGAAAGTCCACAGAAGCGGAAAACTCAGAGATCAACGTAGAAGATGACTTTCAGCGCGAGATGTATTTGTACGTATCCCCTTCAAATTGCGTAGGAAACCGTTTATTTATTTGCTTTCCCAAGTGAGTGCTGTCTGATCATATTTATGAAACTTTACCACAGTTTAAAATGCATTGCGGCATTACAAAAAAAATAGATGCACACAGAATAAAACATTCTAAATGGAAAGAGACTCTTTTAAGAAAAAGTCACCTGATCCACCTTTCCAAAACACTCCACAAAGAAATTTTGCAAAAAAGTTAAATATACATGATGGAGTTATTGTTTTTCTGGCTTTTGTTTGTCTTCTATGGTTATTAGTTAGCGCCACTTGTTTTGGATTGCACTTTAGAATCGAATACCAAAACCTGAGATCCTAATATTTTAGATATGTAAGACTTCCAATTATATTATTTTCTCTTCCTTTCTCGTTCTCCTCTTCCCCACTTCCCGGATTTCTTAGTGGTCTTCTTCCACTTTCAGCACTGTAGCCTCTCAAGTTGGGTAGCTATTTGGGAAGATTAAGAAATCTCTGCACTGCCCCCAAAAAAATGTTTTTTTTTTAACTTGGCATTTTTATTTTCCGTCTTCAGTTACCGCCAGGCACAAGCGACTGTGTTGAAGGCATTGCCTAAACTACATAGTCTGAAAGTTGCAACACAAAGACCAGAAGACTACTTTGCAGAGATGGCAAAATCCGACCAGCAAATGCACAAGGCAAGTGGTTATTTGTTTTTCCTCTCAAAAGAGAGTTAGTTGCCTTACTTAATTTAATTGACCCAAAAGATAAAGTGTTTATTTGCACTTACAGACTGGATTACTTTTGTGACTTGGTTTCCAATGGAGAACCTCTCGTCTGTCTAGTCTAATATGGGTTGCGTGATAGGATTTCATGATCGATTTCTCTGTTCTGTGTCTGAAGTAAAAGCTTCAAGTGGGCCGTGGGGGACTCTTAAGGAAGGATTCTTTAGAGTGCTGCTTCGTGTTGCTTTTTTTTNAAATGTGTCTATGCTTTTATTAGGTTAGACAAAAGCTAATGGTAAAGCAGATTGCCATGGAAAAATCTGAAAAGGCTAAACAGCTCCGAGCATTGAGAAAATATGGCAAGAAGGTAAGACTTTTCTGTCCAACACCAATAATTTTTTGTGTAGCAACTTGTTTACAGTGTACTTTTTTTTCTCCGCTGGCTACACAGGGGGAAATTGACTCCAAATGTATGTATTTTTTTGAAATCTCGATGTACTTTTGATTCTAGGTGCAAGTGGAAGTTATTCAGAAGCGACAGAAAGAAAAGAAAGCAATGCTGACAGCTGTAAAGAAGTACCAGAAAGGTCTGCGATGTTTTATTGGCATTTCCAAAGACGAGATTGTATCCTGATCCCATTGCTTTCACTTGCTACTTGCTCTCTGACTAGAAGGTCTCTGACACTGGTTTTTATTTTGACTAATTGCTTTCTTCTCTTCAGGGCTTTCTGACAAATTGGATTTCCTGGAGGGTGACAGGGCTCCCTCCAAAGGGCAGAAAGAAGCTGGCGGTGGAGGATCTGGAGGTGGAGGTGGGCAACACAAGAAGAAAGGGTGAGCGATTTGGTTTACTACAGCAATGTTATACTCACTCCATGCTGGGAACTTGTTACAGTTGGATAATCCCCTACAGGGGTTATTACCAGGAACACTGATGTATTGGGCCACAGTGATGAAGCGTTATCTCGAGAAGGAGGAGGAGTGTGTCTGGGGGGGAGGGAGCGGGTGCTTGAAAGCATGTTCTTGTTTCACAGAAATGTATTCTAAATTTTTCTTCTCCTGGGGTGATGTCTTCCAATGTCTCGCCCAAGTTGTGCCTTGACAGTGAGTGCAAAGTATTTGATCAGATTGAGAGTGCAAACCTTTGCCGATTTTTTTTATATATACTTTTCCATCCCTCCCTCTGACCCTGAGGCCAATTGTAACAGCCCAACTGCTGCTTTGGTTGAGACTAGCTGGCAACGCGTAGACTGAGATTCAGACCTACAACTTCTGGTCTTTATGACCTAGAACTGCACCCCCTTAAGATTTTTTAAAAAGGGTATTGTGTAGCAACTTGGAAAAGACGATGCAACACATTTGAAGTCACTTCACGCACTGTTTAGTAGGAAGGCATCCGAAAATCATTCTGATCAGTGAGAAGTATATATTCCCAATCAATTTCAAGTCCTTTTTTCTTGTGTTGTGTATTTGCAGCGGGCAGATTGGCATAAGCAGTTAAGCAGGTGTGAGTGGTTCCCTGGGCACAGTGAGGTCTCATCGCATTGTAACCTCTTGTTTTCTTTTTTTTCTTTTTCTCTCCAGAATAAACGCTAAGAGGAAACACAAAAACGAAAAGTTTGGCTTTGGCGGAAAGAAGCGAGGCTTAAAGTGGAACACCAAAGACAGTTACGATGACGTCTCCAGCTTCAGGTCCAAAGTTGCTCATTCCAAAAACAAGAATTTTGGAAAAGGGGGAAAGGGAAAGATTAATGCAAATGTGAGTATTGATTAAAAANCAAAATTCCCTCAGAGTAAGAGAGTTAAAGGTTAATAATGGTACAGATCAGGGCTTCCCAATTCTGGTCAGATGACTTCTAATAATAATAATAATCCTTGATAATAATAATATAATAATAATAATAATGACTTGCCTCATTCATTGATCTTACTGAGGTATGGGATGAATGTTGTCTGATTCCGGTTGCACTTAGGATCCCCTGACATAGCTTCAGCTGATGGTATTCAGCTCAATGGTATAAAACATTTCCCTCTTGTCCAAATAACAGAAACTCACCGAATTCTTATTTGATTGGCCTTAATTTCTGTAATTTAGTTTGATTTCTAAAGCCTAACTTTCTTTTGCTTCATCAACTGTAGATTGTGTAAAACATTCACAAGTACTATATGATGTCTGGTTAGATGTTTTTGAACAGGTACATCAGGAGAAAGTTCTCTTTGGGATTGATTGAGTCACTGTTCCAAACTTTTTCCACCATCTCCTTTTTTAAAAGGTTTATAAGTAGCCGAGAGGCACTTATTGCACCAGTACAGGAGTCCTGTAGCTCAGTGGTTAGAGCACTCGCTTTGCAAGTGAGAGACCTGAGTTCAATTCCAGGCAGAGGGCGAAACCTTGGGCAAGTTTCCTTACTCCACACAGAGCCTAATAATAATCCCTCCAAAACAAAAACAATAATAAATTGGTCATTTTCAATCTACGACTGTTTGTGGGACATTGCTGTGCGCAATTGGCTTCCGCGTTCGCCCACAAATATACAGTCAATTCACTTTACAGTATATTCTGTGAAACGCTTTGGGACGTCTAGAAGACGTGAAAAGCACTATATCAAATGCAAGGATTATTATTATTAAAACCTTAAGTTATGTCTAGACTCAAATTACAGCAGTTTCTTTGAATCCGTTTTGCTCTTCAATATTGTTGAGAAGGCCAGAGTTCTGTAAATGCAGGTGTTTTTTTGATGTGCTGTGCAAACCACAGCTCCTGTATACCATTGTGGTCGGACTAAAGCATCATCGTCCATTCTAGTCAAAATGTGTGACCTGGGCTGTAACCTCTTTTATTTAATTTTCAGAAGCGTCCTGGTAAAAGGAATCGGCAGAAGATGAAAAACCGAAGCCGATCGTGATGAGAACAGATAGCAATCTTGTGTTTCCCACAGTGTGGGGTTTAATGGACCTGCCGGTGCCTCTATTGGATTTTGTACCTGAACAAAATTGCATCCTCTTTATCTGGTTCAAGCCGAATATTGCCTGAAGAAAACAACCACGAATTGTTTAATAATTATAAAGCTTTGACATTCTTTGTCTGTTTAGATGGTTTCAATGAATAGCAAATAGAGAACAAGTAGAGAACTTGACTTGTTTAAATCCCTCTTTGCTGGAATGTGTTTGAAGATCTGTGACTTACTTGCCATCTAATTGTCTGGCAGTAACATACACAATATTGCCGCAAAACACAAAATACTGCAGATGTTGGAAATCTGAAAACAAAAACAGAACTTGCTTCCTCTCAATGTGCCCTAGTTCTGACGAAGGGTCATGGACCCAAACGTTGACTCACTTTCCTTTCTCTATAGATGCTGCCTGACCTGCTGAGTGTTCCCAGCAACTTCTGTTTTTGTTTTCACAATAGTGCTGCAGTTAGACAATGTAGAAATAAAGCCTGAGAGCATCTTTTTAAGTAGCTTAGTCCATGTATTCAGGCCTGCGTTACTGCTGGAGGTAGCCCATTATCTTCAATGGCAAAGGATTATTATGTAGAAAGGTTTTGAAGAAAGTTCAGGCATTAAAATGAATCAGTAAACATATATTCTATTAAATTAGACCCACTCGCACCAGGGAGTGAGCTCAAACTGCATTTCATTTCAATTTGCAGGACTTCGTATTCCTGGCTGTTGGATGTGACTTTAAAAAAAAAAACCTCACTGTTAAAAACTAAGCAAGCCAAGGTTGGGTGTGTTTGAATGACGAGCAGTGTAGTATTCAAATGATGCTGACAGCAGCCCTCCAGCTTGTTTGTTGGCAGTTTTAACATCATATGAATTTTTCAGTCTGTTACTGCTTGGTAAGCTGTTTCACCCCAGCCTTAATCCAACATCAATTACAACTGCATCTTGCGAGAAGGGCAGATGTTCTAGGATATTCAAACTTCTATTTAGAGTTAAACAGAATATGCTTATGTTAGTGTTAAATTTAGATTTGCAACTGATTTTTCCCGTGTGGCTGATAACAGTTCTGGCTGTGACTTAACTGCATGTGAAAAGAGAAGGAAATCAGATGACTAAATTTGAGTCATCATCCCTTCAAAAAAATTATAATAATTTGGTCACTCAATCCACAACTATTTGTGGGACACTGCCGTGCGCAATTGGCTGCCATGTTTCACCTACAAGATATACAGTCAATTCACTTTACTGTATATTCTGTGAAGCACTTTGAGAACATAATAAGGCGCTATATCAAATGCAAGTATTATTCTAAATAGTAAGCACTCAATGGGGAGTGATTCTTGAGTTTAAAGTTTACTCTGTTTATCCAGCATTTTTGAGCATCCAGAATTTGGTGCTGAAGTTCCTTTGGAGTACTTTGGACCCAATGTAAGAACCGATTAGATTCAGGATAAAATTCACTGCTTTATCCCAACAATAAGCCTCAAATGGCAGCTTCTGAAGAGCAGAGGGTTGACATTTCCAGCTGTCTGTGCAGCTGTCAGTGAGTGAATCAGCCAACCTTGTATTTTGTAGGGTTCATTCTGCGTCAGGTGGAGTAACCGTCTGCTGTGAGGTGTGCTGTTCTTTGGGGTTTTTAATCATAACATATTTTGAAGCACAGCTTCCTCACGTGGATTTAATTTTAAAAGAATCATTTGATGCAGTGAGAGGACGTCTCAAAAGCGCTTTGCAGGATTTACTGTCGTGTGTAGTGAGTGACTGGAGTCAAACACCAACAATCCGTCGGCTTCACGCTGATTAGAAGATTTGCACCACAGCAAGAGTTCCATTGTTTGTGTCCCATTCCTTGACTGAGTTTTAGTGCATTTCACAATGAGGCAAAAGTCTATGTTAGCAACAGCCAATCTATCCTCTTCTCCCCTCCCTTCAGCTCCCTCTTCGGTTGCAGATTAGACTTCAAAGCTCAGGCATCGACTGTTGCAAATTTCACTTCTCATGATTGTACCTTCTGAGAACCACCAATGGCGAGAAAGGTCAATGGCTTCATTTGTTACTTGAAGGAACATTTCCAGACGAGAGTTTAAAAGGATTTGAATGTTGATGCTTGTTAAAGTCAGTAGATCTCCCCCCCCCCCCCCCATACATTTTTTGCGCCAGTGAAAGCGAGGTAAAGCAGGAATTGAAGGCATTTTTAAGTAGTTCATAAATGTGAGGAATTAAAAGCTTATAGAAAGAACAGTTTATTTTCCAATATCATGATGATAATCCTCGCATTTAATGTTAGGGCCATATCATGTCATCAAGACGTCTCTCAAAGCGCTTCACGCAATACACTGTAAAGTGAACTGACTTTATCTTTGCTCCAGCAAACTGCCTGGTGTGGATTGCCTCGACCGACGGAGGCTGCGGAGTTGAACGCTGAACGATTAGAATATAATAATCCTTGCGTTTGATACAGTCCTTATCACATCGCTGAGCGAGTCAAAGAGCTACAAGATATACTGGAAATTTGTGTAACTTTTTCTTTTGGGTGGGGTGGGGGGGGGTGATTCTGTTAAAATCCAAGCGGTATACATATGATACATGATATTTCGCCGGCAAGATAGTGTCCAGAAGTGACAGTAAATCCAGTGACGTGCTTTGAGACACCCTCCCAGGTCGAAAGGCGCCACATCATTATAAGGATAAGGATGATTATTATCCATAGAACACCCCGTAAGAATATATAACAACAACAACAACAATATATACAGTCAATACACTTTACAGTATATCCCGTGAAGCGCTTTGAGACGTCTCGAAGGCGCTAAAAGGCGCGATATCAAATCCAAGGACTATCGTTAGTTACGCTAAGAGGCATTTATTTTCTGTAGCGTTCGCCCGTCTTCCAGTTACGGACCGGGGAGAATGTGGGCGGGTGGGGGGGGGGAAAGAGGGGGAAAAAAATCAGGCGTTGGAAGACCTTTTGAAGTGGCGGTCGGCGCCTCAGCCCCAACCTTCAAAGGAAGCCTTTATCCGCTCGGCTCAGACCGAGATCCAGACCCAACCCGGAGGCTGAGGTGCCAGAATGCATAAGATTTGTTGTGAAGGAGACGGATCCAGGTGGTCCCAAGGAGGAGGAGGGGGGAGAGGGGGGGGGGAGAGGCTGTGACATGTAACCCATCCCTTACTCCCTGTCAGTCACTCTGGTGATGACATGTAATGCAGCCTTTTATGGCCTCCATTCCCATAGTGCTGCTCTCTCTCTCTCTCTCTCTCCCTCTGTCGCCACGGAGCCATATTGAGCGATTCCTCGGGCGAATAGGGAAGGATTCCTTGTTCCAGTCTCCCAACCCCGGGGCTGAGCTCCACCCCCACCCACATCCCCACCCACACCCCCACCCACACCCACAACTCCACACCCACACCCCGGACATTGCAATTCAATCACCAGAAGTGCGGAGAGAGAGAGAGAGAGAGAAAAAAGTGGGGACTCGGGGACAGAGACCGAGAGAACCTGAACTGATTGAAGAGCTCGACGAGAAGGTACTAAAACCTCACACTGAGTGGTCCTCATCACCACCGCCACAGACGGTGTGTGATATGTATTGTGATATGTATTGTGCGGTCGATTTTGCATCTGTTTCCACCTTTGTACCAATTCTGAATGATCCACATGTATATACCCCCCCACCCCACCTCTTCCCTTACCCCCACTCCCCCCCCCCCCCTCCCCACCTCTTCCCTTACCCCCCCCCCCTCCCCACCTCTTCCCTTACCCCCCTCCCCCCTCCCCACCTCTTCCCTTACCCCCCCCCCCTCCCCACCTCTTCCCTTACCCCCCCTCCCCCCTCCCCACCTCTTCCCTTACCCTCCTCCCTACCTCTTCCCTTACCCTCCTCCCCCCCCCCTCCTCTCTCTTCCCCCCCCAACACCCCTTCCCTTCCTCCCCTCTCAAAGATGGGTTGAGATACAATTTGTGCCGAGTGTTGATCCATTGTGTGTGAGTGTGTGTGTGTTACACTGTAGCGCTGAGGCTGTGTGTGTGTCTGTGTGGGGTGTGTGTGTGTGGGGGGGGGGGGTGGGGTGTGTGTGAGTGAGTGTGTGGAGAGTGTGAGTATATGTGTGTGGGGGGGGTGTGGGTGTGTGTGTGGGGGGGGGATGTGTGTGAGTGGTGTGTGGAGAGTGTGTGTGGGGGGGGGTGGTGGTGTGTGTGTGTGTGGGGGGGGGATGTGTGTGGGGGGGGTGTGGGGATGAGTGTGTGTGGGGGGGTTGTGAGTGTGTGTGGGGGGTGGGGAGTGTGTGTGGGGGGGTTGTGTGTGGGGGGGGTGTGGGGTGTGTGTGGGGGGGGGGGTGGGGGGAGTTGTGAGTGTGTGGGGGGGGGGGTGGGGGGGGGCGTGTGGGGAGTGTGTGGGGGGGGATGTGTGAGAGTGTGGGGGGAGTGTGTGTGTCTGTGTGTGAGAGTGTGAGTGAGTGTTGCGATGTTTGATACATTGTTGTCGGTGACATTGTTACAGTGTTGCGGTGTCGCTCTGTGACGCTGTGCGGAGTGACGCGGCTATTGGTCAGTGTCGCGGCTCCGGATGTGGTCCCGAATGTTGTTGTGTGAAACTGATACAATCGCCGGTAACGAGTTACCCCCTCAACCCCCCACTCCCCCATCACCACTCCCCCATCACCCCCCAACCACCCCTCAACCCCCCCATCACCCCCCAACCCCCCATCACCCCCATCGCCCCCCACTCCCCCATCACCCCCCCATCCCCTCCCCCCACCCCCCCCCCCCCATCCCCCCACCCCCCATCACCCCCCCCCCCCACTCCCCCATCCCCCCCCCCATCACCCCCCAACCCCTCCCCCCACTCCCCCATCACCACCCCCACACCCCCATCACCCCCCAACCCCCCCCACTCCCCCATCACCCCCCAACCCCTCCCCCCACCCCCCATCACCACCCCCACCCCCCATCACCCCCAACCCCCCATCACCCCCAACCCCCCATCACCCCACCACAACCAGGTTACCCCCCCTCCCCCCCATCACCACAGGTGTGTTGTTATGCCGTCCCCCAAACACCACAGCTTCACTCACACCTCAATGTATTTCCTCTTTAATGTTGTTGTTTTAATGTATGTATATTTATATATATATTTTGAAGATCCAATGTCTATTTGATTAAGGAACCACCTCACAAGGTCGGTCCATTTCTCTTCCAGATCTGTTCACCTATTTTTCTGTGTGTTTTTTTTTGTGGGGCGGGGGGGGGGGGGGGGGCGGTGTGGGGGTGGTGGTGGGTGGGGTGCTAAGGTTTTCATTTCTTTTTGTGACCGGTAAATGCTTTCGAAGTTGCATTTATTCTCTCTCAGGAAACGCAGGAGGCACCGAACCAGTGAGAACATGTTTTAAGTTAGTTTGAGGAGCTGAAGACTTAACAATCCTGTGATTGACTTGGGAGGGAAATCCGGGGGAGCAAATGTTCGCGTGTCCTGTGGCGGTGTGGGTGGGTGGGTGGGTGGGTGTGTGCGGGGGGGGGGGGGGGGTAGTTTTGTTTCAAAGAAAAGTTTATTAAGACCGGAGAAAGTAAGATGGTTAAAACTGTACATCTGGCCTTCCGTCAGCTGTTGACTCAGTGAATTCCATTTTGTGGGCGTGTTTTCTTTCGCAATGTGCCTCTTAATTCTGTGGTCTGTTCTCAAACCCGACGCTTAATTGTCTTAATTGTCATCGTTTGGCTGTTCTTTACTCCTCCTCGAATTTTACTTCATTTGTCACGTGCGTTTCAAGATTTAGTGGGATATCTTTTTGTAGGATGGTTTGTTTTCCATACTACCCCGTAAAATACACACACGCGCACACACACACACACACACACACCACACACAGAAATTTATATAAAATAAAACCAGGGCATTGAACTCAATTTGCACCAGGGAATTCTCTCTCTCTCTCTCACACACACACAGACACAGACGTGGTGTTTAGTTAATCCAGAAACAAAAATGCGGTCAGAGTAAGACTGAACATAGAAGCTACGTGTCACAAAACGTCTTAGCAATAATGTCCAGCAATTATGAGCTTTTTGGTAAGCTGGTACAGAGAGGCCTGCGGGAAGCAGGAAATTATCAGTGGAATAATTTAAAACTTGCCGTGGGCCAGGGAGGAAGAAGATACAGTACTCCTCTGTGTATGTGAGAGAGAGAGAGAGGAGAGAGATGTAGGTATATAGAAAGGGGCAACAGTAGATTATTTATAGAGACACAGAGCTCAGAACCATACTCAGCACTGCAAGCAAATGATAGATTATTATTTTGTATGTATTTAGCCATCCCTGCCTTGATGTGCGTCTATTTTAGGATGGATCGTTGTAGTGTTCTTGTTGGTAAAGGTATACATTTCCCCCTTTTTTATTTATATATATATATGTGTATATTAAAAAAACGCAGATCTATATCCTTCTAGGTTCGGCCGGGTTTGGTTACCTTCCTTGGAATCGGAATAGGTCGGAGATGAATGGATAGTGGGAGCAGCAATTTCAAATAAGAGTCCTTCCATTTGACAGCTGGCAAAGTCGTGCAAGGTGAGACAATAACATGTACTGCAGAGTGAGACGATGGCCACTTGAGAGTTGGGTTAGAGGATTTAAAAAAATACTGTTCGTTTGTTTTTGAAAAAAAAGCTGTTTCTATCTGTACAAACCTATTGTAAAATAGGTCCATAATGTCTAAATTATTTTTAGACGTTAAACCGAGGTCCGGTCTGCTTCAGGTGGACGTTAAAGATCCCCTGGCACTGTTCAAAAAGACATTTTACAGTAAATCCTGCGAAGCACTTGAGACTTTGAGTCCTCCTGACGTGAAAGATGCCATCTCAAATGTAGGGATTATTATCCTTCTTAATTAATAAAAATGCGAATTGACGTAGAGGGCAGCAGCAACGAGACAGGCAGTGGGAACTTCAGATTCAGATTGCGAAACAACATTATTCAGCAGTCGATGAAATGATTCTTGTGACAGCGGAATTGTATTGGTCACCTATCATTTTCTCTGGGTGTATTTACGTAAAGTGGACTCGAGTAAATAGATTGGAACCCTGGAAACCTTCCGTTCAAACCGGGCCTTTGCTGTGCGGACGCAGCTGAAAATTGCTTACATGAATCATGCGTTGTGAGTAACTGGTAACTTTTGCAGTTCAAGGAGCACAATTAGCATTTGAATTTCAGTCTCAGGGTCTCACAAGTTTTAGCTGATTTTCAAGGTGCAGGTGGTGAGGGAAGTAGGAAATTTGTTATGAGGGCCTTCTTCTGTCTGTTAAATAGCTGTTGGGTCGTGATATGACAAGAGACAGTCAGCAGGTGGGAACATTGATGTGCAGCTGGCAAATATGTTTCTTATAAATAAGAAAATAAATACGAATAAGAAGCAGGAAAATGTCATTTGTTTCAAGAACAAATCAGATATTTTTTCCTGCCAGAAAATAATACCTGGGGATACAGTATATAGTTTGGGACACGACATGTCAAGCCACTGCCAGGATGGTGGAAGGCAGTCTAGATGGACCTCGGTCTTCTTTCGCCAGCAAATTCTTATGTTCTTATTAAGAAAATCCACGAAAGGAGATAACGTTGGGAATGAATTCTAAATTTGTAGCTGAGCAACATTTTTGTGATGATCACTGTTGTGTCATTGCAGATTATTCACAAGAGCGGGTAAACTTGAAGTGTATTAAGCCCCACCATATTTTATAATTGTTATCAAGCTATGTACTGTAACTGGCTTCGAAGTAGTCTGGTCTTATGCCTTGCAGAGTGCTGCGGACCATTTATTGAACTTATTGTCAGCCCGATAAACTCTCTCAACTCTGAGAGTCAGAAGATTGTGGGTTCGCACCTCACATCAGGACTCTGAACTCGCAGTCTAGACTGACCCTCCCACACAGTCCTGGGGAAGTGCTGCATTGTCGGAGGTGCCGACCTTCAAGTGACAAGCAAATTGAAATCGTGTTTGCTTGTTCAGGTGGCCGTTAAAGATCCCATGGCACAATTCAAAAAGAAATGGGGAGATTCTCCCAGTGCCCAGGCCAGCAATCCCCCAGATAAAATTGGTCATTCACTTCATTGCTGTTTGTGGGACATTGCTGGATGCAAATTGGCCGTCAGGTTTGCCTACAAAAACACTCATTCCACTTTACAGTCATATCTGTAAAGCATTTTGATGATGTGGTGGGAATAAATGATAGTCCTTACATTTGGTATAGCACCTTTAATAATAATAATCCTTGCATTTGATATAGCGCTTTTCACGTCATGAGGACGTCCCAAAGCGCTTCACAGAACACACTGTAAAGTGAATTGACTGTATATTTGTGGGCGAACGCGGCGGCCAATTGCGCACAGCAATGTCCCACAAACAGTCGTAGATTGAAAATGACTAATTTTATTATTGTTTTTGGTTTTGGAGGGATTATTATTAGGCTCTGTGTGGAGTAAGGAAACTTGCCAAGGTTTCGCCCTCTGCCTGGAATTGAACTCAGGTCTCTCACTTGCAAAGCGAGTGCTCTAACCACTGAGCTACAGGACTCCACTTTCACATCAGGAGGATGTCCCAAACTGCTTCACAGGATGTACTGTGACTGTGTTTTTGTCGGCTACAAGGTGCTATATCAAATGAAATTGTCAATCAAACGCAGGGATTATGATTATCGCCAAAAGGTTTTAATCCAACCCGACCCTTCTGTTTCCCTTCTGTTTATTAATTAAATTAACACTAATATAATAATAATAATCTTTGCAAATAAAATAATTGGTTACGAACCTTGTTCTAACTGTGAATCATTGCTATTCGACAGGTAAAACGTAACATTCCTTACTCGTCTGTCGCAACTTTGAGTGCATTGGCGCATTTGAGCATTTAAAGGCTTCGCTGTAAAAGTGAACCCACTGAAAAAGAGAGAGAGAGAGAGAGAGAGAGAGAGTAGGATTTAGAGAATCTGGAGGAAGAAAAAGAAAAGCCCCTGTAACCCGGCGCTGCCAGGTTCCAGGTCACTTATCTTCATGATAAAGTTTACTTCGGAACATTCAGTGAGGAACAAAGCGAGATTGTTCAACTGTTTGTTTTCTGAGCAGCTCAAGGTTCGTTCTTTTTCTGCTTTGTTTTCTCCAGGCGTTCTTGCACAGCTTCCCATTCAGGTGGGGGGGGCAGTGGGGGGGGGGGATCAGGGGAGTAGAGCACAGAGCTGTGGGGAATTGGGTTTGGGGAAGGTTGTTCCTCTGGGAGCTAATTACCGGATCAGACAAATCTTCAAATTAAAGACACGAGGAACCCCCCCCCCCACTCCGTTAATCATAATGGATTCATTAAGAGCTTAAACTAAGGCTATTAAAGGGCATTTGAGCCCTGAAACCACAGCCAATAACTGGTGAGAGAAGCTGGAAACGCAAGACCACTCAGGACCCCTTTGAGCATGATGTAATTCCCATTGCCGGAACTGGGAGTTGAGAACTCTCTTGTACTATTGCAAGGGATCAGTGTGAGGGTGTGTGGGTGGGTGGGGGTGTGAGGGTGTGTGTCGTGGGGGTTTGGGGGTGTGAGGGTGTGTGGTGGTGGGGAGGAGGAGGCAGATGAGAGGTGCAAATTCAAAGGATGATCATTCTTGTTATTTCTCGCACTGCACAACAGTTTAGAAGGCCTTCCGCCTTATCCAGGATCCTATTCACATGGCGAGGGGGGTGTGTGCAGTGGTATTTCCACCTGAATCAAGAACTGGGATGAATGAAACTCTCTATGTGCATCAGTCCTGCGGGCCTTGAGATATCCTCCCGACGTGTTCTTTTTGCAATAAGCGTACGTTTTGTACGAAGGGAGTTGGATGTTCCCAGTTTTCTGATCAATGTCAATCGGACACACTGTTGAATTGGGTTTGCTGTTGCAGGAATGCGAGTGAGGAGAGGCTGCAGCACTGACGGGGACCTGGATACCTTCAGTGACTGACAACGTCGCTCACGCTCCAGGGCTGCTTATTCCCCGCTCGATTGGTGTCCTTAGAACAGGGCCGTGAAGCCATGGACCAAGAGTACGAACGGAGGCTGCTTTGGCAAACGCACTTCCAAAACGTCTCTGAAAATATGCTTTCCCCGGTAAGTGAAGCTGCGAGACTCTCCATCCGGTTCGTGCCCTCGTGCCACAGAACCAGCGACAGTTTTGATTGTAGGGGCTCACCTTCCAACGGTGGCCGGGACTGATGTGAAGCATAACACGAGCTTCATATCAACTGCGTTCCCATCTACAGCAAGACCAGAATAGCGTGGAATAAGCCTCCAATTTCCCTGGGCTGCTCATCAAAGCGGTTCAAGTGTGCTTTGTCCTCTCGGCTCAGTGCAAACCCTTGCGTCGATTTTTATTTTGAATTAAGACTTTGTTTTAAGATTTTTTTTTACAAAAAGGGTTTTTTGCAAGATGATTCCGGTGTACCGCTTCTTGCACTGATCCTAATAGTGTTCGTATTGACAGTAGAACTGGGAACATATTGACAGCATTCAGTATCTGGTGGAATAACTCACTGGACCAGCTTAAAGCTGAGCAGAAAGGTGCATTTGATGAAGTGCATGTTTCTGTCTGAGGCACCGATGTGTTGTCTACCAATATACAAGGTTGAAAGTATTTTTTTTAAGCCGATTTCCATTGCTTTAGACCAAACGAGGCGATTGGTGAGCAAGCAGAGGTGGGTTTACCTGCGCTCGTGTCTGTGCGGATGGTGCAGTCCACTTGCAAACAACAACTTGCATTTACACAGCATTTACACTATTGGAGTGATAGGATAGATTTCACTTCTCAAAAACTCGCCTTGCGATCTGAGTTTAAATAAAAAGCCTTTCATGCCACCAACCTGAGCTTGTAATGTCTTTGTGGGGGGGTGTTTGGGGGGTAAGAAAAAAAGACCAATCTGTAAACTTGCTTTCTGCACTGCACTTCACAAAATACTAACATTAACTGAAATAGCCTGACTGTTCGATTCATGTTATCGTTATTTATTACCTTTTATTACTGACTGTCGACTGTTATTTTCCAAACGGTTTCTAACCCGAACCTTGTATTTTTCTGCGCATGTGGCGTTGCAGTCTGCCTTAAACCCGCAGCCCGTATCTTCCACCTCACCGGCAACCATTCCTCGCAAGACGGGCGACAGGTTTATTCCGACCAGGGCAAGTTCCAACTGGAGCATCAACTTTCACACCATTAACGTAAGCCGACACTGCATTGCAACAACAATAAATAACGAGGACAACTTACATTCGTTTGATAGCTTTCACGGTCGGAAGGACGTCTCCAAAGCGCTGGATAGCCGAGGACTACCGCTGATGGGACGGACGGGCTGGCAGGGCGGGGGACGTGGAGAGGAGGGAGGGAGAGAGGGGGACAGGCCGGTATGAGGTTAGCAGGTTACAGAGGAAGGGAGGAGCTCTGCGCATCGAGGCCATGTCAGCAGTTTTGTGTCCGACCTGGAGGGCTTATTTACCGGAGGTTTCAGTGGCTGCAGGCGTTTCGCTTGCTGCTCTCTCCACCTGCTCAGGTGGCTGAGACTTGTGTGTACTTGCATGCCAGCGTTACTCCACCCGTACAACAGATGGTGCAGCTGTCGTTGATGGTTGTGCACATCTAACAGCAACGACAACTTGCATTTACAGAGCGGGCTTGACTCGGGATCCCAGATATAGCAATAGCCTTCGTACAAGATCAGAAGGAACGTAAAAACATTGGCACAAGAGCCTCTCGGTTAAGCACCTGACAATCTCCAGACTGCCCACTATTCATACTAGTGAATACTAGGATACATTGTAAAGTGTAGTGACTGCATATTTTGCAGACAAACGCTGGCTGGATGTATTCTTTTCAGTGGGTTAGATATATCCACTTTACAGCGTATCCTGCGAAGCACTTTGAGGCTCTTCTACGAATGTAAACTTTTGCTGTATGTAAGGATTATTTATCATGATACGTGGCAACGTTAAAGGAGGAATCTCCGTCCTGCTGTATGTTTTTGCTCATTCGCAGGAGAACGGAAAATCCCCCAACCAGAACCGCAAAGTGAAAGAGGCCAATTCCGACAATGGGAAAGGTACAGTAACTGTCTGACTCACCTGTCATTGAACCAGAGAATGTCACAGAGTAAAGCAACCCGGCTGTTCAGACTCAAATCCGCGCTGGTGATTCTTCTCTTGTTTGAAGCTGACCGTTCTAATAATCACGTTAAGGTACTTGGTTGTCCCATCCAACACTGAACGGTCAAACATTCCCAAAAGACGGTGGTTTAAGTGTCGTCTTTATCTCTGCAGCACGAAGTCTCAGCTGTGGCTTAAATAGTTAGCTCGTCCAAACAGCTAAGCCTTAATGATGGCAGTAGGTCACATTGCAGAGTCCCAGCGCTGTCTGCCAGTCGCGTGCTCCTGGTGTGGTCGGGAGAGCGAAGTGTGTTGCTTCACATTAGTGAAGCTTTCTCTCTCACAGGTGATTGGCATCTCCCTTTGGTTGTGTATCAGGGTGGCACTGGAAGTCTGGCGAGGTCAACAGCAACAACAAGTTGAATTTATATAGCTTGGCAGTGGTGGAGCACGACCTGCCATCTAGTGAAGCACCTGTACATCTTTCTCAGGAGCATTTGTGAGATGACTTGTGTGTGTGTGTGTGTGTGCGCAGTGACTTTTACTGGAAGCCAATTTGCACAGTCCCGGAGTCACCAGCACATCTCCCTCCACAGTACGTACCTTGTTTATTCCCTGGTCTCTCCACTCTCCGCTATGCTGATGGAATGTGTTCCTTCCCAATGGCAGATGGAGTGGCCTACGCTGCTTTACTAAAGAACGAGCTCCTGGGTGCGGGCATTGAAAAGGTCAGTGATCCTCAGACAGAAGATCGGAGATTCCAGATGCCGATGCAGGAGAGACGCAATCTGTTCAGAGTAAGTTCTCACGTCAACTAACGAAGTGGCCACTAATAACACCGGTTTGCAGTCTGTCATGTTGTAACAGTGAATACTAACAGACCTCTGTTTTGGTTTGTCTGCAGTATGCCTTGAGCACAAAGAGATCTACCATTGAAAGTGGGAATGAAATCTCTCCATATTCACTGTCCCCAGTCAGCAATAAAAGGTAATTCAACAGTTATTCCATATTCAGGATAAAACCTTTGTTAATTTTTATCTTTTTGTGTGTGTGTATATATATGTATGCATATATATATACGTATATATATGCAAAAAGATATATATATTATATAAAAAAATGAAAGTCCTCTAGACAAAGGGCTTAGGTTAAAGTGTCGCTTTCTCTGTGATTTAGCTGTTTTGTGTGCATTGCTACATTCCTACACTCCACCTGCACTAATAATAATAGTAAAATTAATAATAATCCTTGCATTTGATATAGCGCCTTAGATGTCTCGGAGCTCAACCCAGGATATACTGTAAAGTGAATTGACTGTATTTTCTGGGCAAAACGCGGCAGCCAATTGCACACAGCAGCGTCCCACAAACAGTCGTGGATTTGAGTGACCAAATACATACACATATATATATATATTTTGTTGTGAGGGATTCCTACCCCCGGAAACAATCCGCCAATCGACTAACACTAGGCCTCACCCGCTACGCCCCGATCCACCAATAACCCAAGCCTTTGCTTTCTCTCCGCTCGGGCAGTCAAAAGTTGCTGCGATCGCCACGCAAACCCACAAGGAAGATTTCCAAGATTCCCTTCAAAGTCCTGGACGCCCCAGAGCTGCAGGACGACTTTTACCTGAACCTGGTGGACTGGTCGGCAGCCAACGTCCTGAGCGTGGGCCTCGGAGCCTGCGTTTACCTGTGGAGCGCATGCACCAGTCAGGTAAGGGGCAGAGAGGACCTCACGCCCACCTTCTGGCTGGCAGCGAAACCCTCCGCCTTCGCTTCACCACTCGTCGTTCAGTTTCTTTCTCCTTTCTTTTTTCCCCCCATTCAGTCCTGCTGCACTCCTCCTTAACTGCCCCATTAATTTTTGCACAGCGACAACAAACAACAACAACAAACTATATTTGTATAGCGCTTTTCACGTCTCGAGGGCGTAAGTCCCGAGGTGCTGGGATAGATCAAACTTAAGATCGAAGCTTGTCGCTCCAACGTGTTCCTGTAAAGCTCTTAAGAATATTGAAGAGAGCAAAGCAGCTTCATCTGGTGCCAGATCCAATTCCAGGAGCTGATCCAGCTTTATCTGATCTCCTTTCTATTCCATCTCTCTCTCTCTCTCATTTAATATAGCGTCTTATTGCATCGTTCAGACGTCTCAAAGCACTTCAGAGAATATACTGTGAAGTGAATTGACTGCGTGGCGTGTGAGCCGAATAGTTCACAAATACGCTTTGGTCTTGAGTTCCCTTAGGTTGGCTTTAGGTCAAATGTCGATGTATATTTTCCCTTGAGGTTGTTTGTGCGCTTGTTTTCCAGGTAACGAGGCTGTGCGACTTGTCCATAGATGGCGACTCAGTTACTTCTGTCTGCTGGAACGAGCGAGTGAGTTTTCTTTGCCGAGACTCAGCGAGATCCTCTACGTCACTCAATCCCTCTGCTCTGCCCCCGCCCTACCCACTCCCTCCTCCCTTCCCCGCCTGAAAACCTTCCTTTTGAATTGTGCTCACGGTCACCTGCCCTTCGCTCTCTTAGCCAAGGCCCCTGCGGTCTGTCTGCCAGCGGTGGTGGGGCTGTGTGTGTGTGGGTGGGGACAAGTTATGTGTCCTTTAAGGGTGGGCTGGGGGGAGCAAAGTGATTGAACAGTCCCGTCCTGCGAGACATTTTTTTAACAAGCGGGGGGTTATTTTCCCCGTTCAGGGCAATTTCGTGGCTGTGGGAACCCACAAAGGTTACGTGCAGATTTGGGATGCGGCTGCAGGCAAGAAGCTGACCTCACTCGATGGACATTCGGCTCGAGTCGGTGAGTTTGAAGGCAAATCGTACCGGGGGCTGGGGGTTAGGGGCTGGGGCTCGGGGTGGGGGTTAGGGGCAGGGGCTCGGGGTGGGGCTGGGGGCGCGAGTGGGGGGGGTAGAGGCTGAAGGCCTCCTCCCATTGCTGTAATCTCTGTGATCGCGATCCACAGGTGCGTTGGCCTGGAACGCTGATCAGCTGTCATCGGGAAGTCGGGACCGGCTCATCCTGCAGAGGGACGTGCGAACTCCCCCACTCCAGAGCGAGCGGAGACTGCAGGGTCACAGGCAGGAAGTCTGTGGTCTAAAGTGGTCACCCGACCACCAGCATCTGGCGTCCGGGGGCAACGACAACAAGGTACCCTCCCCCCAGGGGTCAATCCTCACTCCCCCACCACCCCCTCCACACGCCACACTCCACACACATCCCCACCCACCCCCAGGGACCCACGTGTAGCAGCCAGGTCAGACATCAGAGCTCGGGCAGAGAGAGGCGAGGCGCTTCAAGAAGCTCAAACCATCTTCATGGAACAACAGAATATTGCAGCACAAAAGGAGGCCATTCGGCCCATCGTGCCAGTGCCATCTCTTTGGAAGAGCTTCCTGATCAGTCCCACTGCCCCTGCTCTTTCCCCAAATCTTTGCAAATGTTTCCTCTTCAAGTCCTCCTACCCACTTCCCTTTTGAGAGTTGTTATTGAATCCGTTTCCACCAAGTGAGGGTTGCCACATACAGGGTAACCAGGGAGTTATGATACCATTACAATCTCTAACAAGTCTTATCAAAGAAATGATGATTTTTTTTGCGGGGGGGAAATTATGGAACTTTTTGGTCACCTCGTGAGTCGTGGTATTTTATTTTGCCTCCGTCAGCACTTTGTGATGATGTAGAACTCCATGGTCTGTTTCCACAGCCCCCCACCTGCACCCTCGCCCCCACTCCTCTTCCCCACGTAGACAGGAAAAGCCTCCCTCTCACGCCATCTTTCTTTCCTCCCGCAGCTCTTTGTGTGGAACAACTCGAGCCTGAGCCCGGTGCAGCAGTACACAGAACATTTAGCTGCTGTCAAGGCCATTGCCTGGTCCCCCCACCAGCACGGGCTGCTGGCCTCGGGTGGGGGCACGGCCGATCGCTGCATCCGCTTTTCCAACACCCTGACGTGTCAGCCTTTACAGTGTGTGGACACCGGCTCACAAGTCTGCAACCTGGCCTGGTCCAAGCACGCAAACGAGCTGGTGAGCCCCACAATTCGTCCTGTCATCATCCCTTCAAACAAAATGTAATAACAATTCGGTCACTTCAGTCTCCACGGCCGTTTGTGGGGGGGGACGCCGCTGGGCGCGATTGGCCGCCCACAATGTATACAGTCACTACACTTTACAGTCTAGCCTGTGAAGCGCTTTGAGACGTCTCGAAGACGTGATAAGGCGCTGTAGCAAATGCAAGGATTGTTATTATTATAATAAGGACGATGAATAATCCTTGGGAGTTTGCTGTTCTGTGACGGGATTTCCTTTTGCTCCCCAGGTCAGCACGCACGGCTACTCGCAGAATCAGATCCTGGTGTGGAAATACCCATCGTTAACACAAGTTGCCAAACTGACAGGTCATTCATACAGAGTCCTCTACCTGGTGAGCGGTTTGGCTGTGGCGTCGGGTGTAAAGACGGGGCTACCTACGGACCGGCCTTTTAAAGGGGCCAGTAGCCATTCTCTCTGTGAAAGGATTAAGCCTCGGACACTCTGCGGAGTGTCTGGCCGGAGGTGAAGTGTGTCGGTGCTGCCTTTGATCAGCCAGCAGATGGCTCTCACTTTGCACTTTGTAAAAACTCCTGTTTTTATCATCTACCCCGTCTTGTCTGTCTGTGTCTCTCTCTCTCTCTCTCACGCGCACACACAACCATTGTTTATGCATAAATATATGTATGTATATATGTGTGTGTAGACCAAAAAGTCATGATATCTCCCCTACCTAAAAAAACAAATATCATCATTTTTAAGACTTATTATACCTTGTACATTGTAATGGTATTGCGACTTTTTGGTCACCCTGTGTGTGCGTGTGTGTGTGTGTGTGTATTCCAGGTGTCCTTGTTGATCACTCTGGATTTTGAGAGACGACAGAGGAATGGGTGTCGGCAGTAGAGCCTGAAACCTGCTCACTGCTGCACCTTTTGGGGTGGGGGGGGCAGGGGGTGGTAGAGGACAGCTGGGCCATTGAAGGCCGATGGTGTGTCACTCCGGCAGTTGAGTTAACTCCACACTGGGGCTTTGGTTGTGTTGTTTTTACTCAAAACCTTTCACTCAAATCCATTTTGCTTAGACGAGAGGTGAGGCATCCAGAAAGACACCTCTTTTTCTGGTCGAGCGTGTTGTAACATTTTAAAATTCCCTCTCGCCCCCTCAGGCCATATCACCCGACGGAGAGGCCATCGTAACAGGAGCGGGGGACGAAACATTGCGGTTCTGGAACGTTTTCAGCAAAACCCGGTCGACTAAGGTACCCGCACTGCAAAACACTTCACGCTACCGTGCGGCGGTCACCGCTCTGAAGGGTTAACTCCGAGCGTTGACTTATTAAAAAGTGACAATTTGGTCACTTCAAAGCACGACTGTTTGCGGAGACGCTGCTGTGCGCAATTGGCTGCCGCGTTTTGCCCACAGGCTATATAGTATTTACAGTCTATCCTGTGAAGCGCTCTGAAGTTTCAGAGACGTGATAAGGCGCGATATCAAATGCAAGGATTAATATTATTATTATAACTCTTATCTGTTTGATTGTCGTTAATATTTCCTAACAAACTTTTTCCCCACTCTTTATTTTTCAGGAATCCAAATCTGTCCTTAACCTTTTTACTAGGATACGGTAAAGCTTTCCTGAACAGAATGTGTGCTCCATAGACACTGATTTCCCCAAACCCCGACCCAACCCACACCAGAACTGCAGCAACATTGATCTGAATTAACAATGACCGCCTTTTCTTCGCCGTGCCCATTATCTTTCCTCGGACGGATCAGCACCCTTTAATTTGCTGACGTCTGGAGGCTGTTCATGTCACTGACTGACACACTTAGTGGAAGAAAGCTGCTGTTGAGAAGTATGGAATTAAGGGTGATAAAGAGAGAGAGAGCAGAGCGCAAGTTCACTTTATATGTATCTATTGTACAAATGTGTACAGAAGCTATTTATTGTACCCAGGATGGCACTTGGATGGTGTGTTGATGTTTGCATGGAAATATGAGTGTGGATTGGATCAGAATGCCTTCTAATGTTGTGTATAGAGAGAGAGAAAAAAAAAAGGAGTAATATTTACATATACTGTGTCTGAGCTATCTGAAAGGTATACTTGCAGGTTTTTTTATTTTAAAAATCTACGTTCTTTCTATGTAACTATTTTGACAGCATCGGCTCCTGGAAGTGAGGAATTCCCATCTCTTGATATTTTAAAATGCACTTCTGAAAATGTCTTTCTTTTTTTTTGGAGTAAGAAGAACATCATTATAAATGGGATCCATGATTAAAAGGAAAATGCACGGTAAACAGGAACATTTGGTTCTATTCCTTTTCTATCGTTTCTGTCAGTTGCGTGGATTTTTATGGAAGGGTTTCCATTGATTTTTATGGGTCCTTATACACAAGAACGTACAAATTTGGTAGCGAAAGAAGACCAAGGCCCAATCTAGTTTGCCTTCCACCATCCTGCCTGGCAGTTGCTTGACATGTTATGTCCCCAAAGTATATACTGTACCCCCAGATATTATTTTCTAGCAGAAATCAATCCAATTTGTTCTTGAAACAAACAACATTTTCTGCTTCCACCATGTGTCTCCTGGGGGAGACTGTTCCATAGGTTTTCCTACTCGCCCGCTGAAGTAGTTTTTCTGCAGATTTGTTCTGAATTTACACCCCCACCCCCTTTCAATCGCAATATACTTGTCTGCTTCACTCACGTCGAACAGCAGGTCCCTCCGAACACTGTGGTTGAAGTGGGTTTAAACGTCACATATGAAATCTTTTGAGGCAGCGTAATGAGTGGCGATAATGGAGAACACTCGTCACATTCGTGGATATCAAAGTGCATCACAATTGGCAGGATAAGACATTATATATACCTGCAAAACAGTTGACCAGCAAACTGTCAGCTACTTGCCACCTGACCTGCGTTGGAGGAGAGTGAGTGGGAAAAATCCCTCTTTGGTTGTAACAGGCTTCGACTTAGGGAGTGAGAGTGAAAGAAGCTTCGAATCCTAGGGAAAGGTGACACCTTGTCCATCGTATTCTGCCTTTAATAATACAATAATAATCCTTGCATTTGGTACAGTGCCTTTCACAGCGAGAAGACGGACATCCCAGACTGACAGGACACTGAGCCAGGATGACATAACAAAAAAGAGCAGCTTAAGCCAAGTACACGACAGCTGGGATATGACCCGTTGTGTAACTGGTGTATTTACTGTTGCATGTCACACGAGCGCAGGCGACGCTGTGAGTCATGTTCTTGTGACTGATGGTCAGTCTCCAGCTGAAATCGCACGTCTTCTGTCTGAAGTGGAACTGGGAGACACTGCGTTCTAAATCCGGATCTGAAAATCTGGAAAGGGACATTGACATATAGCACATTTTATGTTCAATAATAATTATTAATTATAATAATAATAATAATTATTAATGTACTCACTGCATTAAAGCACAGCACTAACCAGGTAGCCTTCTTGTGCTACTTTCTCCTTTCCTGAAGCTGTTCAGTATTACTGATATTGTATTAAGTATTAAGTTTGGGGACAAGACGTGTCAAGCGACTGCCAGGATGGTGGAAGGCCAACTAGATGGAACTTGGTCTTCTTTCGCCAGCAAATTCTTGTGTTTTTATGAACAGAAGCATTCCCATTGTTCAATAGGTGATTTGCCCCGGGAGCCAGCAAAGGGCAACTCAGGGATCCTGAGAACAATTCACTGGAAGGCTCGAGCTACTGAGCAACCGAATAACATCAAATGCCCATCAACACGCCGCTCCAATACTACCTTTATTTTTTAAAACACATGCCTGTCATTGTGGCTGCGCCCTTCTGGGCCTGATGGAAATAATGCACAAATGGACATGTGAATTGGTGCTGAAATGTTAGTCCCCCCCCCCCACCCCGGTGATGCACAGCCAGTGCTTTGCGAGTGTTGCCATTGCACCATAAGGCGCTATATCAAATGCAAGGATTTAATGGAAGGATCTTGGGAAGGTTTGACTGACAGTTCAGTGCTCCTCGACCCTCTGGGTTCCACTTAATGCTTCTCTCACTACTCTGTGGTACAAGGCATTGCAGTTGCTCATTGCTGCTCTGAGAAACCTTTCTAAATGATGAGTATAGTCCATATAATGAAAGGCACAGATGGGGAGAGATTCCACCTGGGTCTAGACTTAACTTATGTAGCTTTTACAGGGTCCAGAATTGGGCAAATTGAGTGGCAAGTCTTACCTTTTCTTTAAAAAAAATTCTAAAAATCGAGGTTGTATTTAACATGTCCAGATGTCACACGTTATTATTAGGGCCTCTCAATAACATTCGAAAATGCTTTACGGAAAAGTGAGTAATTTCGACCCAGGCAGAATTTCAAACTTAATTCTTACCTCCGCTCTGTGTCAGAGATCTGACCCAGGAGACCGCACTGTAGAGGCTCTTTTCAATTATCCGGATATATTTGATCTAAGAAACAAGAAACATTTGACTCTCGGCCTGTAGCTTAGAACAATACTTGTTTAAGCGCTCAGGGACTCTGCCCTGCGTGAGGGACACTATGTAAACGTAAGTTATTGTGGTTGTTAAGCGCTCTAAAGTGTCACCGTGATATATCGGGCGTCTGACGTGGTTCAAAGCGTCTGACGTGCTGCCGAGATGTAACGCTCCCCAGAAGCTGTCTTGTAGGGTGTGACCCCGACCTCAAAAAAGAAGGGTCTGCTTCAGCGGGGGGGGGGGGGAATCAACCACTAAATGTAAATGGCTTGTGTTGATTATCGGCCACTCACTGCGCCATGGTTTCCACTCGTTGGGGTTGGCAGATTGTTGGTTGTGATGCTCTGTTACCTGCAGGCCTGAGGAGGCCAGGTATTGGATTTGGAATTTCACTCTGATGGGGGGCCTTCCCTCAGGCTCCTCGGCTTGTACACTGGGCAGCCCCAGGTGAGCCTTCATTGCAAATTGCTTTCCGCCCTTGAGGGAAAACAGGAGATCTCAACAGATCATTGTACAACTGGACGTTTCCTGCACGTTTTTCATTAAAGAGCTATATTGTAATAATAATAATAATCCTTGCATTTAATATCACGTCTTCAAGACGTCTCAAAGGGCTTCACAGGGATATAAAGAGAATTGACTTAGTCATTGACGTGTCAAATGCAAGGATTATTGCTGCTATTATAATTTGAATCCATCTTATTTTTGGAACGTTCCTCCAGGCATTTATCGTATATTGAGAGGCGTAATATAAAAGCAAGTTGTTGTTGCTGTACATACAGCTGCACAGACACACGCACCAACACACACACACACACACNAACACGTAATCTTTCCATGGCTTTACCTGAATGGAGTTTATAGACCAGATGATGGCACTCTCCTCTGGCGCCCATTGCACATGTCCTTTAGCGGTATTGAATTTGGGAGATGAGGCGTCGCTGGGAACCGGGACAATGATCACAACATTTGTAGCGGAGAGGCGCTCTTTAAACTGCCCTTTAACCTGCGCAGATACAAGCAACCAGCCATCTATCTCCCTTTATTGTATGAGGTGGTCATACGCACGTCAAAATAAATCATCGTATGAAGTGTCTCCCGGACCTTCAGTCATGACAGGGCACGAGATCAAACGCAAATATTCGGGCTGTTTTGTGCGATTGTTACAGGAAAGTGGTTACTGTTGTCCCTGGAGAGCACGAGGAGAGAGCGTGTCCGTGGAGTAGGATAGAAGGTTTTCATAATATTCATTTTATTATGAACGACCTTGTGCCACGTTGAGGTACCAACTTCAAGGGCAGATAGTGAAAGGGATAATCTGCACTCTTAAATCCTGTGTCAATTAATAGATCAACCAGCGGGAAGCCTCGTCATTTTTCCACGAGGAGGCAGAGAAAAATTAGTGGTGGAGCCCTCAACAATCCTCAAACAATGCTATACTCTCTTCCTCTCTTCTCCCCCCTCCTATCCCTAAGTGCTGGTTGTGTGGCAACTCACCCACAAAATACAGTCACACACATCCCTTTACAGTATATCCTGCAAACCAGTTTGACGACATAATAAATTGCTGCAGAATGTCAAATGCAGGATTTATTATATTATTGACTCTGAGCAGATTTAAAAATCGCAAGAAATGCTTTGAGACTCACTTTTCGGTTCTGTTGTACAAATGTACCTACGATAAATAATAATAATAATCTTTGAATTCAGTATAGCGCCTTATCACATCTTCTAGATGTCTCATGGAGCTTCACAGAATATGCTGTAAAGTAAAGTGACTGTATATATTGTGGACGAAACCTCCAACCTAAGCATGTTGCACCAAATCTTAAGATATTGTGGTGTCGTGCCTTACCTTGACCGTGATCTCCATTCTACTGTGCATATATCTCTGGACATCTGCAACCACCACGAGAAATGGTCTGACCTGAGGACACGGTAAATCGCAGGATCATTTACAGTTCGAGATTTTCACCGTTCAAAACATTAATCCATTCGGTTGCGGATTCTGCTCTCGAGGAATATTGTGCAGTAAAGGATTTCAAATTCAGGCGTTACAGAATTTGGTGGTGGGGAGGGGCAGCGATGGATAAACGTAAAGTCGTCAATTTAACACATACCCACAATAATGAGCTTCTTCCTTTGAATACTCCAGTGAAAGAGCCCTGGTCCCAACCAACCCATCCCAACAAGGCAAATCCAACCATTAGATCCCGTAAGAAGGCTCTATCTAAGACATTGGTGACCGACAAAATAATCATAGAAATAACAAAATAGCATAGAATCGTGCCATCAATCAAGAAATATTCAATCAAGAAACATTTCTTTTTGTTGGCCTGGGATCGGGAGTGCTGGAGGGCAGGGAGGGTAGGGGTGGCCGAAGGCATGGTCGAAGAGGACGGTCTTGAGACGTGCCTTGCGAGACGTGCCCGGGGAATCTTTCTGATTAAAAACATCACATTGAGAGTAGTTGCTGTCTCACTGCGTGTTGGAAGATTTTGGTGCAGCAAGATCAGCACAACAGCAACCGATTTAATAAAGGTATCTTACTCGACTGGTCACTCGGTACGACATGAGCTCAAACTCCTTGTCGGGTGGGATGAACGTGATGGCACGCTCGCTTTCAAAGCGAGACAGACGGACACACGAATGGAACTTGATGTCCTCAAAGTCCACAGGGTTTGCGTCTCCCACTTTGGAATAGGATTGTCAACGTTACTCAAGGCTTTGAAGTTCCAGGTTCACTTTATTCAGAAACATTTCGAGTCAATGATGGTGTTTTGCTTTATTTTTAAATTATCAAAAATTAAACTCACAATTCAAGATATTCCACTGGCCACAGGTAATCATTTTACTTTAGGTTAATCGTATTTTATTGGCCACGTCTGGTTCCTTTACCTATGACCCTGGTCAGAATACTTCCATATGTATTTACATTCTGTTGTTTTCTTCCCATTTATTAATAATAATAATCCTTGCATTTGATATAGCGCCTTAAAATGCCCACAAAATTTTAAAGGGGATATTCAGATCAGGTTGCCTCATCGTCACTTCAAAAGTCCACCGTTTGTCATTGAGAATGAATCTAGTCAACCGAGATTAACATTATCGATTTGACATAAACTCAACAGCTTCATTCAGATGCAAACCCTCCCTCTTTAGGCCACTGACTGAACTTTGCATCTCATCCCGTCTCTTTCCCTTGTATGTCTTGCACTTACTTTGGCTGTGGTTGAAAAGTGCGTTGTCATTGAAGCACAAATTGATTTCAGGCATGCCACTGAGCAAACTGTTCATCAATACGTGTCCCAGGATCTCACTGTGAACCACACAGCCTTGAGCGTTCACCTGTGGAAAATTCACAGTGTGGTCAGAATGATAGATAATTATATTCTCTCTTTGTTTTCCTCTCTGATTTTTCCACTGCTTTGGCAATGAAAGCCAGATTTTGGGGTAATAAAATAGGAGTGTTTGGGTTAGTCTGTGACTAACGCTGAGAGGATTCGTCAGGTGGCACTGGGCACAGGGTGAAACCGCCAATACCTGTACACCTCTGATGTTCTCTTTGAAGAGCGTTCACTAACCAGGAAGTTGATTGACTCGATAATGTCGATGAAGAGTTCGTTCTTGCGATACTTGATCCCCTCTGATCTCCAGGACACAGCGTTGGTGACAGCAGCTGGAGGCTTGGGTGCTCCCTGCTTGAGTTTATAACCTTCCTGTGTGATGTATCTGTGGGAAAGCAGGACACAAGAATAAAAAAGATGGGAAGATTTTATTGTCGCAAGAAAGGTTACAGTTGGCTCATTTCTTCTACAATTCTCAGTCTGGCTCAGTTCCATCTGCTCGTGAACCCAGTTTGATTAAATGCACAACCTTGCTCAAATACAGGTTTTTTTAAAAAAAACATAAATTTTCCTGTATCTCATTATAATATTTGGTCAGTTATTTAGTTTTGATCAAACCTTTGCTTTTCTACTGTTTGTTTTGTGACGATTTATTTATATGTAACCCCCATCTTCCCTTAACACTGTATCTTAAACCATCTGAATATGTCTCCCTGTTTAACCCGAGTCCAGGAAGAGGAATTGATGGTCTTCAAATAAAGGCAGGAGGAATCTTCCCAATGGCTCAGTGGGTAAATGCATAGCCTGGAGTGGTGCTGAAACAGATAGGATGGGGAGATCCCAACCTTGATCCCTGGACTGGGATAGTGAGCTGATCTGGGCTGAGCTGGTTTGGGGGTGTGCTACAATTGGCCAAATAATCCTTGTGATTAATGAAGGCAAATATCTGCAAGGCTCTTGTTTCTGGTTATTGCCCTGTGATCCCTGCTGAAAGAAGCAACAACAACAATTTGCATTTATATAGCGCCCCTCATACAGAATAGTGTCTCAGAGATACCTGTTAATACTAAGTGAGGACAGGATCGAGCCTTAGCTGTGATGCCTTCTAAAGTGTTTTAAACCTTAACGTGAGCTAAGCTGAATACCTTCAGTGTTTGAGAATCCATTGTGATCTGATTGCGACAGAATAATTGTATCCTGCAAACTACAGGGGGCGTGATCGGAATATATTTATTACTTGCAATGCATAACTGCAGGGGAATAGAGGACCTAATGTGTTTTATTATTCATTAACTGTGGCTTTGCACAGATGCTGCAGAGCCTCAGCTCTGCTGTCAAGTTGCGCCTTTGCTACAATTAAATATCCTCATTTTATGAACCAGAGAGAACCAAACAAACTGGGGATCTTCAGACACGTAACGACATCTCAAAATGTACCGTATAAAGGTATTTAAGGTCGTTAACAGACAGGGAAAGTAAACCCAGACATACTTTCAAATAACTCAAGGCAGCAAGTCAAGAGGACACAGGCTTGGATTGCGAAGCCCAATTTTAGGATTCACTCCAGGAAGTATTTATATACACAGAGGTTAAGTAACAGCTGGAATGGTTCACCAGGAAAGATGGTTAAGGCTGGTTTACTGGACTTACTTTAAACAGTCATTTGATGCTGAAATAGGAAGATGATAGGATTAATATTCTGGAAGGATGAGGGACAAAGGGTGAAAGAGCCTCCAACATCCAACTGTGTCTTGAGATGTGATTTATAGACGTACAGTACAGGATAAGGAAGATAATAAAGGTCGAAAGCCTCATTCATTAGAGTCCACTACAGAAGGCTACAGAGCTGCAATCAAACACGATGGAGGGACAATTTTAAAAACTATTCAAGAAAAACTCATGAGAATCGGGAGGATTGGATGCAAGGTAGGAACACGATGTTTACAAAGAGAGGGTTCAGCTGAGTATACCTACTCCTGGAGGATGGCAGTCTCAGTGAACTGCGGGTAGCCAAAGTCCATAATCTCATCAAGGAGTTCGTACATCAGAACAAAATTGTCCCGTACACTTTCTTGTTCCAGTTCCCCAAAATACTCCACGAAAATCTAAATCGTGAAAGAAAAGATTTCCTTAGGATACGGCCTGAAGATTAAAGCAGCAGCTTTTCATTGGGGATCCAATCTCGTTTTATGCTCGACTTGATACAAATCCTTTAGGAACTGAACCAACCTTGCATCTTGGAAAATCTGCAGGTTTATTACTTGGGAGTTGGCTGGACTTTCTGCAATTCACCGAATTTTATTGCGTTAAATTCTGCACAGGTAAATTATCTTCAACAAGGGAAAGGAATTTGGATGGTTGGCAATGCAACCGCACCTCCCCAAGACCTTGGTTATAAAGGGAAGAGGGCACACAGAGGCACACTCTATATTTGGTACACAACTGCAGCAGTTTACCAGTTGATGTCACTTGATGCCTTGTTTATAAGGAGAAAAATTGGCCCCAATCAAAGAAGCAGACAGTACAGGTTTGATTTTACAGTGATCCCCCACCTCAAAAATAATACTACTTTGTCACATGTACCAGGTCATATAATTCAGCAGTCGTCAAAGGGTTCAAATGGATGGTTTTAAGCTTTGGGTTGTATTATTATTAGGGACAACGTGATGAATGGGGATGGGGGAAGGGTAGAAAAAAATTTGATTTGAAGTTGGATTTGATAATGGTGTTTGAAGAGAGAAATGTGGAAGTAAGCAAATAGGAAGGATTACACCAAGGTTTCCCTGAGTTCCATGATTAAATGCTGCGTGGGTTTAGGAATCAAAATATTTCCTTCTCCACGAGGTTTGGGAAAGCAGAGCTCTGCAATTTCACTGATGCTGTGTCTGAAGAAACAAAGAGAGCTTAAAGCAACGAACACCTTTGTGGCTTTATAGATGATATTCATGAATACCTGGGAGGGGAGGGAGACAAGAAAAGCATGTCAACAAGCCTAAGATCTATTGAGGATGTAAATCTTGGTGCTAACTGGCAAAGTCTCAAGGAAATGTTTGGCTTTTCTTCATGTTTGGAAATGAGTGACAGTATAATGAAATTGTTAGTCTAAGTGTAACTTGTCCATATATTTTATCATTATTTATTGCTGTTTACTGTTCTGCTGCTTCAGAATTACTGGGCTATTTATTGCACCTGATACAGGAAAGACAAACAACAGCAGTAGTAGGTGGTGGGCTCCTGCCTTTCTCCAGTACAATTCTGCATTTACCACAAGCTGTTCTTATAACAACCAACAGGGCCCTTGTTGTGCCAATTGCAGAGATTCTGTACTATTCCTCAGGAGAAAGGTTGGCAGGAGACAAACAATGCTAAATGTTTTCCATCAAAAAACACTCTCGTTCTGAACACAGCAGAGATGGATTTTTCTAGTTTGGACAAGGAGTTGTCAGAGATCTCTAAATGCTCCTAAACCCTCACCGCCAAGATCAGATGAGTAGTGCTAAATCCAACATTTCTGACCAAAACTTGCACAGGTCAATTTCAGACAGTAAAATTGCCCTCTGGAAAAGTAGTGGAAAGACATTGAAGGACAATCCAATTGTGTGGTGTGTAAATAATGGAATATTTCCCCAGAAATACCCAATTGAAGTAAACCGGGCCTGTCTCACAAAGTACCTTTTTACAGATCTATTATGAGGGATAAGAACCAGGCAGGTTAAGGGCACCTTTCTGTTGCATTAAGAACTTTGTGTTAGAGGGAAAGCTGGGGAGGTGGGTGGCAGAAGGGGATGTGCGCACCACATGAAATGTAAGCTCACTGAACCTTAAAAGAACAATTTTCTCGTCTGTGTCCAGAACAGGCAGTGTGTGCTGGCAGGAATCTAACTGTGAAGGGCATCACAGGCAAGCCTGGACATCTGACACACATCTACACACGCACACCACGCAGGTGAGGGAAGAGCCACTGCTTGGGATCTCAATCCAGTGACCCCCACCCCCCAGAGGTTTATCTGCACAATGTTGTGCGAGATAAAGAGTGATCTGCAGCTGTGTTCCTGCAAGTCTGTGTTGTAGCAAAGCCGAAATGCAGTTAACAGTACAGAGGTTATAGAGGTTTCTCGTACCTGTTTTATTTTGAAAAGGAATGAAAATGACAAGGAAACGTTGGCATTTCTCTTTGTTGTACACACCACTGAATTCTGGTTAAGGTTTCACCGGTGCCGACATGAAATAATTTTAACGTTTAAATTTTTATTTTTAGAAAAATAAAGACAGTTGGTAAAACATCTAGTTACGATTGATTCAAGGATACTGTAGATATTTTTGTATTTTATCCACAAAAAGTAGATTTTTTCTTGCATTAGAATAGGGCTCAATCCATCCTCTTCTTTGTTCAGAAGTAAAGGCATGAACTTCTCAATCGCTGACATTTCAACGTCTCCTCGATAATTTCGTGAGATGAGAACCTGTGCGTCAGTATTGAAATATTATCCTAAACCACAAGCAACAGTACTTCAAAAGTATTTGGTATTTAAGATACCTGAATGTTACCATAACTCAAAAAACGTTCCAAGGGAGCACTCAATACACTTCTTGGTGCCTCCAAATGGTCTCTCACCCATTTGTTTTACACATTTAAGTCGGTTCTCATTCTTTTCTAGTGTTGATCCCAATTTGTGTTCTCAGTCTCTTTCCATGTCCCATTGAAGAAACATAATGAACTTTACGCAGCTCGACAGGTTGGCAATACAGGTTGCTGTTTTTCTCAAGAGCAAACACACGGCCTGTCAATGAATTCTACATACATTCTCTGTTCCCTGGCTGCCTTGGGTTGGAGATTTGACAGCACATAAGGATCACCAGTAAGTGAACAAATTTCTCCCTTTGTAATATTTAGGAATATAAATTCAGCAAAATACCTGTCCTCTGTACAACAACTTGCACTTGTATAGAGCCCTCCACGTAGGGTAGCGTCTCAAGAGGACTCAATGGTGGCAGAGCATGACTCCGAGCTTGCGGGAAGGTGGAGGGAAGAGAGTGGCCGTAAGCGGAAGGTTTTCAGGCAGGACAAAAAAGGGGAGAAAGGGGGCAAGGTGGAGGGATTGAGGGAGTTTGCAAAGTTTTGGGGTGTAGTGGCTGAAAGCGCGACCTCCGATGGTGGGGCGGAGGGTTCGAGGGACGAGCAGGAGGCTGGTGCCAGTCGAGCGGAGGTACCGGGTGGTGGATTGGGGAGTGAGGAGTTTGGGGAGGTAGGGAGGTGCCAGGGAGTGAAGGGATTTGAAGACAAGAGTGAGGATCTTGATCTCGTCGGTGATGGGGAGCCAGTGGAGCCTGGGCCAGAACTGGTGAGATGTGGGTACGGAGTTTGGTCCAGGTCAGTATGCGGGCAGCAGAGTTCTGAATTATATCGATATTTATCTTTAAGTATATTTTTTTCCCCTTCCATTTAACACAAATGTGTACCCGAAAATAAAATCGAACTACTCTAATTAGAATTTCGTTCTGCTTGTTAGCTCATACACATTATTAATGCATTAATGGATTAATCACATTAGTTATTCATGTATTCTTCAAAAGAAGTTTTATATTAAGCAGAAGTGACATCCTTGCACATGATCCCCTAAACCTTCCAATGCCTGAGGGAATAGATTGAAGGTCACACACGTCTGTCTCTATCTCCCTTAAATGTGACAAAATGCTTCACAACTTTTTTGATATCAGCTCACACTGCAAAAGGCGAAGATTTTCCATTGGAATTCCAAGTATTTGAAGTGTTATCTTTCACCCAAACGTTTTAAGCAAACCCAGGTCACAGGCTGAAAAAGCACAGCTCTGGATTGATGTGTGAGCAGATCCAAATAATCAGCAAAGATTTGAAAACTGGATAATTACACAAACACTTAGTAGTTCCTTATCCTACTTCTCGTACTGCCATCGACACCAACAGACAGCAGCCAACACGACAGCATTCAAAAATCTCAATTCAGTATCTTAGCCAACAACCCTCCAGTCATTCACCTCGTGGCTGTTTGTGGGACCTTGTGTACAAATGGACAAAGTATTTTCCGACAAAAACAGTCACTTCACTTGACGGTAATTTTTTGTGAAATTATGTGATACATTGATATTCTAGGCCTTATAGTTTATTAAAAAAAAGTACAAATGCTTAATCTTCACAGAAGCCAAAGCTCAGAGGAATAGAACTGCCGAAAGTAAATACTTCACAACCACAAAAAAAATTAAAAAAAATGAAAACACCTCATTCATAAAGCACCACCAAACTAACACTACAGCCTGATACAGTAAACCTTCGTATTTTAGTTTATCAATCTCATCTATTATGGAATAGCTAATGAATTTTATTGTGTAAACTGACGAGAACACTGAAGGTTAAAACTACTTTCTGTTGTTCGGCGGTTACATTTTTAAAAAATATATAAAACGTGCCACCAGCCTACCTGCCCTTTGTGGTCCAAGAAGTAAATGGCAGAAAATGCCATGTCTGCAAAATCAAGACTCCGAAAGGAGAGGTTTAATCCAAACCGAGTTCTGTGTGGAAAAAAATGGCTTACATTCAACTGTGAAACAAAAAAAAAGGGGAAAGAAAGAGGACGGCAAGAGCTGCGTGGAAATAAAAGTAAATAGACAGACACCACTAGGTTAGTACCTTGACCTATTGATCAAAATGTAAGCAAGAATGCACAAGGCTTTTTAGAGCAAATTCAGTGAGATTTGATAATCCAGCACTTCCCAATTGAATGCAGTTCACAAAATAGCAGTTACCGATTAAGGAGATTATTCAATTCCAAATATGGTGAATCAGTTTAAAGGGAACCTAATAATGTACGGAATAATCTCTAAACTGTACATGAAAAGGTTTTGTGAGAACTGACAAATCGAGCATTTGATCTAAGCACATTAATTAGGAATCTGAGTTTAACAAGGGAAGCAACACGATTTGGGGAGGGGGCGGTGGTGGTGGGGCGGAGGGGGGGTAAAGAGAAAGCATCAAGAGTATTTGACAAATCCACTAACATTGTGTGGAAGTAAACCACAAGTGAATATAATCAGCAATACAAACCTTACGCATCTTACACATTTACACCAGTTAGATTTTCAAAAAATGTTTAATACTTTTATTGCTCAATCTTCGTGTCAGAACTCAGTCATCATCTGGGTGGACAGGCCAGTGAACCACATTGTCAGGAGGTATCCTCTTTCAGGTGACAAAACTAAAACCGAGCTCCTGTCTACCTGTTCTTCAGTTGGATGCTGGGAGTCGCTGCCCAGATCCTGGCCAGAGATCCTCCAGATTCAAGAAGACATTTCAAATGCGATAAAATGCTATAAAAAAANTCTACTTTCTTGCTCCATTCAGGTAGTCGCCGTATACGTTACCAAGGTAATAATATAATAATCCTTGCATTTGATATAGCGCTTTTCACGTCTTCTCGGCGTCTCAAAGCGCTTCACAGAATATGCTGTAAAGTGAATTGATTGTACATTTCTGGGCGAAACACGGCAGCCAATTGCACACAGCAGTGTCCCACAAACAGTCGTGGATTGAAGAGACCAATTTATTATTGTTTTTTTTTTCCCTTGAGGGATTATTACCAGGCATGTGGAGTAAGGAAATTTGCCCAAGGTTTTGCCCTGCCGGGAGTCGAACCCAGGTTTCTCGCTTGCGAGGCGAGTGATCTAACAACTGAGCTACAGGTAGTCAATAGACTTCTGTCAATCAATCATTGAAAAGTCGAGGTTCAGACCGTGGTCTCGTTGATGAGCACTTGCAGTTTGGGAATAAAGATCTTTAAAAAAACAACTCAATTATAAGTGACGCTTTATTTCACAATAGAAAACCAACAGGCTACAGTACCATTTCCCAGTGGAGAGCTTACTAGCAGTAAATTAGCCCGTTTTTTTCTCCTCCTTTCCTCCCCATACTTTTGAGACCAGTGCTCACCATATCTGTGGAACTTCCAAAAAGTTCTATTAGCACAAGGATACACACACAGGAAGAAGGTGAGAACAGCTTGGAGGCACATTAAGCTGGTATGGGGTTATTTCTTGTACAGAGAGAAGCACAATGCCTAATACAAAAGGTTCAAACAACATGAAATGAAGTAAGAGCTGTAACAACGCTTTCCAAGCTTCAAAGCTTTGGGAAGGAAGGGAGTAAACAGTCTGCGTTCCTCGGTTCACTGCTTTCATTGTGCAATAGGTATAATTGGCAAAGCGGTCATCAACCAACACGTGTATTCCCTTCCTGGGCCCAATGTGACTTTGCTAAGTCAGAATGGACAGTGGTCGAAGCCCAGGTGAATGTCAGTTTCTTTTAATCAGATGTCCAGCCCTTTGAAACTCACAAATGGCAATAACTACAGACCAAAAGCCATTTAAAAAAAATAATAAATCCAGACTCTTGTCATATTCTCACCAGGAGCCCAGATCACCACGTTTGTCATTAAATTAAAGAAAAAAAGAAAATACAAAATGAGCAAAGCAGCTTAACAAAGGTACTAGATTGATTTAAAATGGTTTTATGCCAGTTAGATTCTTCATTCAGACATTATAGCAGCATCACCAGTACTATTCCACAACTGAATCATCTGGGATTAACACATTCCCTCCACTAGATATCATTATGTGTTTACAAAAGTGCCAAAACCACAGGACTCCAGGAGCAAGCTTTAAATACGACACAAAACATGTACACAAGTTACTCGCAAATTAGGGGCAACCAACGTCCCTTGCACCTTTTCTCTCAAATTTACCAGCCCTATGGCAGGCAGGCAGGCAGGCAGGAAGTCCACTTTTTCTTTTAAATTAAAAAAGCCTCATTATATGGCTACACTCAAGGGCAGGTATCCTTTTCTCTTCCCGGATCCTGTAGTGCGGGCAGGAGCCCCAGTTGCCATTTTAAAAAGTCTCTCTCAGCAAAATGTACTTTACAGAAGAAAACGGTGCAAACATGTCTGTTGAGGACACAGGAAGCATGCGGTCGAGGAGTGTTTGTGGACTCTCAGTACTCGGCTGCGTATTCTGTGCCGTGAAGCCCCCTGCACAACAAGGTGAACTCCTTGACAATGTCCTTCACTCGCCTCTTGTTCACACGTTCTCTGTAAAACAAGATTGTATTTTTTTTAACACACAGGAGTGCTTTCAGTACAACAATTAAATAATTAACAATGAATAATTAAAGTTAATTCACTTTACAGTATATTCTGTGAAGCGCTTTGAGGCATTTCAATGATGCAAGAAGGCGCTATATCAAATCTAACGATTATTATTAGCACTGTAACTGTATATTCTAAAAAGGTTCTCATTTATATTGGTAATTTTTAATGATACAAGTTCCCAATGCTCCAAACATATATTTTACCCTTTTACACAGAACTTTTTCCTTTTTGTTTCACAATACGCTTTAGGAAAGCAGAAAAAAAACATTCTTTTAACTACTGTAATAAATTAACCTATGGATCTTCTCCAGACACAAAGTAGGAATGTTCAAATGCTCTGAAATAGATATCACTATGTGCAAACACTTCTCAAAAATCCAAATCTTTATTCTTGCTTAAAGTATTAATTACAATCCATGGAAACGATGTCACAATCTAATCGCAAATAATTCAACAGGTAGAAAGCATTAATAAGACATATTTTACTAACTAGGACAGGAAGATCATCCAAATATTGGGAATGGAACACATTTCAGTATGGTACTTGGCAAATTAATAAAGGCTTTATTTGGTCCATTCTGCTTTGAAGTCATACCTTAAAATCTGTTGACTAAAGGTTTCTTTTTGTTCTGGTGTAAGACGGGCTGACGGAAAATTCTGTTGCTGCATCACTTCTTTTAACCAGATACTCAAGTAGGTTATACAATGCTTATTCAAAGCAAACAAAATCTCTGCAAAGTGGTCCATCAGACTCCTTGAAGCTTGTCCGCCAATAGCCTACCAATCACAAGAGAATGGGTTTAAGAGGCAAACCATCTCATTTCATCAGTGCAAGTCAAACAGCTTTTCATCAATAAACATCGAGGCATTCAGAAATGTATTTACATTAGAGATATATAAAATGTGGGATGCTTTGTCACAAGTGGTTATTAATAAGTGCAAAATAATTGCTTGCTTATTTCAAGAGAACATAAAAATGTACAGAGAAAGATCAATTAGGATTAGAATAGGTAGCGTCAGTGGAGGTTTGAGACTTCCTCCCAATGTGAAAGGTGCTATATAAATGTAAGTTGTATTTCTGATTGACTGACAGGCCACATACCATTTCCAGCCACTTGAATCATTTCAACCCCTTACCTCGAGAGCTGCCTGCAACAAGACTTTCCCATTCTCATGGACAACCTGGCCAACTGGCTGGATTTCACTACAACGGGGTAGCAGTTCAGTCTAACAGAATAAAACAAGCAAGCAATGAAAAACATACAGCTTAGCAACATGCTAGCATTATATCAACTGATTGACTTCTGCATTACTATTCAGTATATGATTAGAAACACAACTGAAATTGCCAACAGTAACCTAACTCACTTCAATGTTCATTTTCAATGCTCGACAACCCCTTTACTCTACTGAAGCTCCCAATCCCTTTAACCAATCGTTCATACAAATAGAAATTGTGGGATCCTAAAGCTGTGCTGGCATTTCCTCTTTTCAGCTTGGTTCTTCACAGAGGACAGTTTAAAAAGTTGTTCCAGGACCATTACATAAAACATTACTACATTAATCCAAGCAGGATATTAATCTGAAATCTCTGCATGCAAATGTAATACATGTTCAAAGATGAAATAAAAGTTTGGATGAGATTTTAAATTTTTTCCCCAAAATAGTTCAATAAAAGGCATATTAACAGCTTCAGCTTCCTGTTTAGTCTTTGACCTATCAAAAGCATTTTCAGCCACAAATCACAAGTCTTAAAAATTAAAGTTTCTTCCGTCACTAACATGTGGCAACGAGGGAGGCAGAGAAAGGAAACTGAAAGGTTTTAAGACCGAAAAAAACAAAGGTTTAGAAGAAAAGGTCGAGGTTGGGTTGAAGAAAGTTAACAGGGAACAGAAAAGAAGAAAAAAAATTATAAGTTTAATGTTTTAGACCTTGTTTAATATTGCAGTAATTACTACTTGTTTAATATTGCAGTAATTACTACTTATTACTATTATTAATACTAGTAATACTACTGTAATAAGTTTTTCTTTCAGCATGTTAGTGTGTGCGCTGCAAAGGTTGAGAACAACACCAGGCTAATGAAGATTATAAGACGTGTGGGTATGGAAGCTACGTCAGGCTTGGGATAGCCAAGCTTCTCCCATCAGATAGCCCGCTTACATGCACACTGACCATTACCAATGAGCATTGGAGTGCTCTGGGACCCTACCACACGTGAAGGGCACTATATAAACACAAATTGGTGTTGTACCAATGGGCATATGGACCTGATGCCACAAAACTGGTGCCTTAGGAACCCTACACTTGGATCAAGTCAGAAAAGGTTGGGGCAATAGATCAATTAAAAGGTCGTATTTAAGAGCAATTTTAAAAATGCTTTCATAACATAGGTTTTGGTCTTTTTTGGGGGGTGGGGGGGGCAACGACATGGCAGTTAAATGGGAATGCACTTAAAAAGATGGTCTGCAATGCTGGCCCACTGACAGAGACAAGAAGCAGAGTGGCGGTCAACCAAACAAATGTTTTTGATTAAATATTTCTTGATTCATAGCAGGGGTGGGCAACATTTTTGGTTGGCCAATCAAATTCACGTTTCTTGATTGAATTTTTCTTGATATCTGGCATAAATCTTTTGTTATTTCTATGATTATTTTGTTGGCCACAGCTGATTTAATTAATACAATCATTGGATAATCTAGTATTTAGAACTAGGTAATTAAAATTGAAGTCAGAACATGAAAATGCAGTGTTTTCCCCTCACACAGAGAAAGAATATTAATGAAAAATTAAGTCCAAACAGAATGGATCATTTCCTCAAAAGCAGAGAAGTGAATAAAATACTTACAAAGAAACCACATGTTGCTTTCACTGTTGGAGCTTCTGGGAATTTCAGAGATATGACCCCTAGCAAAAAGGAGATGCGTTTATATTTTGTAGAACTGTTAGATGCCACCACTCCCCCCTCTCCCATCCCAACCCCAACACGCACACACTATTTGTTTACTGTTAGTATATGACAAAGTGAAGTCTGAGCAATTCTAGGTATCTTTAGACAGCAACGTCTTACTAAACCAACACATCTATACCTAAGCCCCAGAACTGAAGCAGTTGCAGATAGCACTGAAAAGGGAGGGAACAGCACAACCATTAAGGCAGTAAAACACTAAAGAAAGATTGACGTAATCAACCCATCTGCAATCTATCTATAGAAGAGTTTAACTCTGCAGTTAAAACAATCAATCACTTGGTGTAATAATTACACATACGTCTGATCTACATTGGCAGATATCTAGAAACTCTTGTGTAAAAATGGGAATAATCCAGATTGTTCAGCACCAATCATCACCATCAGCAACATGGCATGAATTACACACTAGAATTTACTATGTAACAAATGACTGACAGAAGAACATTCTAAGCATGAAATTATGCAGTTTCAATTCCAGAATTTCCCATAGTAAATGTTAATTGAAACAATTTAATATTTGATCGTTTGATACTCCAGGTTCCAAATCGCAAAATGACAAAATAATTCATTAAATCTGAAAGGGCTGAAATTGCTGCAAACACAAAACTCAAACAGTCAAAAGCCTAGCTGCAGGTAAGGAGATTAAATTGGACACTTCCATCACTTACCACATTGAAACAAAGCCTTCACATCACAGTTCTCTGCTAAAAACAAATCTGGCTTCCTTTTGAGAGCCTAGGAATCAGATACAAGGGTTTGTTACACACAACACATTGAATGACCAGTTCATTTGGTGGACCCTCATTAATGAACCCATCCTTAACTTGGTGTCATCAGTCTTCATACTTACTGATTTTCACTTGGTACAACATTAAGTTATGTTTCTCGTGAAAAATATTCAACATTTTGATACCCCAGACAAGAGATTTTTTCAGATTATTTGGAGTATATAGTGCTGGTGGATAAAAGTGCTGTGGCAAACTGGTTAATGGGGGGGCCAGACATGTGAAAGGGATGCATGTCCACAACGGGAACAAACAAAATAAAATCAATAATTCCAAATAAAATAACTTGCTCTTAGTCAAGGAAGAACAAATGGCCTTGGGAATCTGGGCTGGAGGGGGGTTGGGGGGAAAAACAGGAGGAAAGAAAGTTAAAGGGGAAACTAAATAAGAAAACACCTAACTGAAATGAATTTATTTCACCCCAAAAAGAGAGGATGAACAGGACCAGGTTTGCTGTGAAACGTTTTGCAATGCAATATTAAAAAAATTCTAAAAAGAACCTACGGTGGATGAACATCTCTGAGCCTCCTATAATAATAGACACTATATAGACAGACCACATGAATGGCAAAGTACGAAGAGCACAGGTGAATGCGTGCACGAGAATGAGATACTGCAGCCCCCAAAAATAGCAGTGAAATTCTACGGTTATAATTAAATTTGACAATGTGTTTTGACAAAGTTGTTTTATGGTCCTCACAATCCTGAGCACTTTCTATTTGAAGGAAGCAGAGTTGGATTATAAGTATGTAGTGAACTCATCCAACCAGTGCCTTTGTTCAGGTAGCTCCAACTGTATTCAGCTGTACGAGCTTGTGAACCAATTTAGTTCAGATCTCACCCACAACGCCCTTTTCTGAAAGTCCCTCATGACCTTCTGCTCAACATCTGGATTCAAGATAACGGAGCGTAAACGTACAAACCATCATCAGAGAATTGTTCCAAACCTCAGCGTGAATGGAGGTTCAAAACGCCTTTTTCCTTCACTATGGTGCAGAAAGAACAACCTTCCGACACAACAGCAAAACTGTGCTCGCATCTCATGCCGACTGACTGACTGACTCAGCCCATAAAATAGAGACAGATTCAATACCATTTTTTGTCATGCCTTAAGAACCTCGTTTTAACCTAACAATGCATTTCTGTAAGCTTGTTTTTCTTTTAAAAAATAAAGTTGATATCAGGTTTAATATAATTAAACGAAAAAATAAAGTGAATGAAATAACAAAAACACACCTGTGCCAGGAGTTGCATAAATGAATCAACAATATCAGGATGATCCCTGGGTCCTAAAATATAATAAGATGTAACTTAAGAAATAATATACAAACAGCAAATCAATATTCTTATTGTCTCATGAACTCTACATAACAGTTACAGTGAGGGGATACAATGAACAGCTTAAAGCAGTTAAAGAAAAGAACGTACAGAAATATGAAACTTCAGAACCTAAAATAAATAAACTGCAAACAGGATTGAAACCCAGGTGTATAGATAAGTTTAAAAAAAATTTGGAAATGTTTTTTTTAATAAAAAGATCTTAAACCCTGAGATAACACTCAAGAGGATCATAAACTCACAGAAATTTGATGGCCAACCACGGTATTAATGTTAAGGGAAATTGTCACCCTGTAATTTCATCAATTTGGCATGTGACTTACATGGTTTATATTATTTGACATATACATTTGTACAGATCTAGATCAGACACTGCAATTTGCAGGTTTATTATCCTTCAGTTAAAAGTTTCAATTCAACTCAATAGGCCCTTGATCCCAGGTTAATAGAATCCAAGACTCAACTGGACTGACTAAAATTATACTTCAGCTCAGCACTTGTGCCAATTTTCAACTCCAATCTTCTCCATACAGACGGTGCAAATCATTCAACTGTCACGGTCACAAAGCTCCTCAAATTCCAAGACAAACAAACCGGTCTTTCAGCTATGCAAACAGGATTTTTCATTCGGTGGTGCTCTTTGTTGCCGACCTTTTCATCTCAATTCAGCTGTTACAAGAGCGACTGCCACATCAGTAAAAACAGCCACAACAAGCAGACACACATCATCACCAATTCAATGAATAATCATTCATTTCATGCTTTCCCTAGGCGGGCGGGTCATTGCTGTGTGTAAATTGCCCGTCAGGCTGACCTACAAAATTGTGCATCTGCACTTCACAGTATGTCCTGTGAAGCGCTTTGGGACATTCTCCCAACATGAAAGGAGTGATACTAAACACAAGGATTAATACAATTTTGCATCTGAGGCCTTCTTTGCAAAGATTCAGGATGTTCAGAGTTCACATGGCTATTGTGGCAGCTTAACGACCACTCTGGCTGAGATCAGATAATTCAGCATAGACCAGGGAAGCAAACCTGTAACCTTTCAGTCAGTATTCCTTAATGCGTCACTGGGTGATATCTTAACGCCATTTCGCTCCTTAGATATTGTAGTATTTCAAGCAGGTTTCTATACTTGATTACATTTGGCCATTTCTTTAGGACCCAAAGACAACAATTTCTTAAAAGCATAAATTTTCAGGGAATTTGGCACCAAGTTTACCCACCCTCCCACAGAATGCAAACCCCCTAAATTGGAAAATTGCTTTGCAATAAAATTATATTGAATAGTAGACACTGCTATCCAGCAATAGCAATTCAATCAAACAGTCCTAATGATTGCCTATAAATATATAGTCACGAGACTTCACAGCAGAAATGAGATCTTGAACTGCTTTGAGACCAACAATGTGATGAAATACTACATGAAATGCACTGATTTTTATTTCTAACTACGTCTGATTAATTTGTTAGCGTCTTGTAGTTCACTGACAGTCACCTTGCACTATCTAGAATCTGCAGCACTCAAAACACTTTTGACAAGGAACTCAGAAGCAGCTGCAGAAACTGTACTATTCTCATAGTTGTGCATCACTTCTACGTCAAATAGAACCTGCCAGGATGTGACTTGAATATTTATCAGGCTATGCTGGATAGAAAATTTGGCAACATTTGTAATCAAGAATAGCAGGAAAGGGTGGATTTTAATTTCATCAGTTGTTGGCCATATTCAAAGGAAACCATAGGAGTCCATCCGAGACCCCAGGAGTCCTCTGTTAAGATTATATCATCTTATCTTTCACGGTAATGTGAATTTCATTTCCTTTTCCAATGTAAACCTTCAAAAGCTCGGTGCAATAATTTATTATGCCAATTTTCTAAATCCTTACTTAGTAATTTCTTCTCGTCTTTAATACACGATCAGTTGTCGCAGTGCTCTGCACAGCTGTGAGAAATGTGCTTAAGGGTCAAGATAAACCTGCAATGAACCTAAACTTTTCCATGGCAACAGATTTTAACAGAAAATTATTCTCAGCTAGTCGCAATTTTAATACGGGAGTTTATCTCAGTTAGAAAATTGACAGCAGTCATAAGGAAGATGCTCAGCTATTATTTTAGCCTCAAGATGACAAGGATGATAATATTAATCTTGGGACTTGTTGGGAAAGGTTGAATTTACTCATTGTAAGGTTGGTGCTGCCTTATAATCAGATAAGACTGGAATACAATATTCTGTTGATAATCACTGTTTTATGCATCACTGAGTAAAACTCAAGCTCAACCCTCACTTCTTGTGTGACAGTCCACAGGGTTGAGCGAGAGTATTGCCCTCACTCCCAAACTGAAATTTCATGAGATTCCTAAAGAACAGGTTTAGCACCACCACACAAGGAGCAAAGTGGATCCTGTAGTTGAACTGCTGGAGATGCTTAGATGAGATGTTAAACCATGCTCACCTACAAATGCAATCACTATATTTTACATTTTACATATTTTGCTTTGAACCATTCCTCGATAGGGTACTGCATCTAATGCAAGGGTTGATATACTAATAGAGGTAGTAGTTGTGTGCCTGGTGAGGTGATGAGATGCACTGCTCTGTAAAGCCATTAGCATTTTCTGCACAATGTAGAAAAGTTGCATCAAGAATGTAAAAAGGAAAATATGCAGATTGATGATTTTTACCGTCCCCCCCAAAAATCTGTTTTATCCAGCATGGATTCAGCCATGCCCTGAATATACACACAGCCAACTATTATTGAAGTTCAAGATGCCTCTCAAAATTGAAGTGTAAAATCAGTTTAAACTTAATACATGGATTAAAACCACAGCAGTACTCCATACTAAGCATTCCTTATGGATAAATAATTTTCACCGATGTCACCTTATTAAAATCCACAATAACGTTTCCCTTTTTTTATTAACTACTCTTTTTCCAGTCTGTCTTGAACACTCACATTCCAATTGGCAAGGTCACTTACAACTTTAAATTCCAGCACAGAAGTGTTTACACAGACTACTTTCACCTCACCCGTTCCATTCTCTAAACAACACTCAAGACCAGAACCTGAATCAGTGCCATTTAAATCACAAAGATGGGACAATCGGCAGCTCTGCCTGTCTGGAGGCTTCAAGTAAATGGGAAAAAATGACACCCGTCAATGGATTTAAAACAACAGCAGCAGCAGACTGTAATCTGAAATGCTGTCACTGTCCAGCTCCTTGGGACGTCCTCCTGACGTGAAAGGCCCTATACAAGTGTAATCTTGTTGTTGTTTCATCTTACTCCAAATCATTTACATTGAGTGAATGCACACTAAAACAATTAAATAATTAGATCTTATTCTCAAGGCACAAAGCTCATCAGCATAACCACATAGCATATTATACATGACCAACATTTTGAGAGCAAGTGTCCACTGCATTGGAACATTACAGGGGAGGGTCCAATCTTCTTCCTGTGCTGTGGCTCATCTGTTCATTCCACATTCATGGCCACAATAGCTAAATAAAATGCAGCTTTGGACGGGAATAGCATCTTGCTCTTTGCTTTTGGAAAATGCTGAATTATGATCATAAGAAACAAATGCATCCCACAATGGAAGGTCACAGACAGCTTTTATTACAAAGGCTTCTGTTACTTTCTTTTAGACTTCATGTGCGCTGCAGGATTCGTAATACTACACATTATTTCACTCTGAAATCCTCCAGCCGAAGCTCACACATTTTGCTACATTAATTATTCATTAAAAGAACAACACCTGGTTCTTTAGATATGACACGAACTAGAATAACAACATGGCTCACTTTCAAAACAATCAATACAGTAACAGCTCTTCCATAAACTCAACATTCATGTACCACAGATCACGTTACTAAAAAAAGGACATTATAAAAGTCTGCCTCTTAGAAACTTTGTGTGCAAATTAGAAAGATCCAATTGATTACTGTAAATGACAAGTGCAACAATTTTTTAAAATAATACATTTATATGAACAATTTAAAAATGTTGATCACATCAGTGAAGAACCTTCAGCCCAAACATTTATTAGCATCTTCACACAGCACTGCCACCATGACATGAGCAGAGAGCTTTCACATGTCTGGAATGGAGGAAGGCAGCATTCCATATACGTCCACGAAAAACACTGCCTTTTCCCCCACAGACGGCTTCAACTAACAGAGGAGGAGAAGATGAGATTCAGCTCTTTTCAATAGGTAGAAATTTAATTAATTTGCTACATTAATTACATTTCCCTCCCAAAAAACAAACAGTAATAAATTGGTCATTTTCAATCTACGACTGTTTGTGGGACACTGCTGTGCGCAATTGGCTGCCGCGTTCGCCCACAAATATACAGTCGATTCACTTTACAGTGTGTTCTGTGAAGCGCTTTGGGACGTCCTCCCGACGTGAAAAGCGCTATATCAAATGCAAGGATTATTATTATTATTATTATTACATATCAGTATTTTTCTTTTTTAAAAAAAATGTTCTGAACAACTGCTAACCGGAACATAGCTGACATTACTCTGCTGATTTTATAGTCCTTTTGGAAGCAGCACACCAAAATATCAGCAAACATCAGGCAAGTACATAGTATAAATGACCTGAATTACCATGTATCCATTAGTTCACAGCTTTCGATCGATTACACCTAACAATGAGCTGAAATATCAGCTTCTCCAATGATGTGATCAGCAGTTAGTTGATTGTTAAAAAAAATCCTTTTTAGTCCAAAATCCAACATCTTAAAAAAGTATCTGAACACCTTTCTGACTGAAACAGATAGTAATTCTATACAAACCAGATTAACCCTAAAAAGCCATTTAGGATGACAATGTCTTGTGAACATTCAGTTATAATTCAGTTAGTACAGCGACAGCTCATCACCTGCAAACAGCTTCTCGTCTAGACTAATGCAACTGGATCGAAAAACAACCCTGGGTTAAATTTAAAATAGTTGCCTTGATATTCATACCCGCCCCTTACTCCAGTTGAATTACTGTATTATTTCAGATGTTGGTCCTCTTTCATGTCAAAAACAGGCAACATTCAAAGCTGCTTTGTCATTTTTATCTGGCAGCAAGGAACAAGAGGTCGTATTTTAACATCAACTTCGTGTCCCTTTATTTAGCGTCTTCTCTCCACTTGAGTATTCATTCCCCTTCAATTTTGCCTTTCTTTTTCTCCTCCATTTTTCTAACTATTTTTTAATAAGGGTTCTTTTTGTGCATATTGTTATTGAAAGTTATACTAATTCTTCTCGTTATTGTGGCACTGCTGCCAAGCGGGAAGATATAGGACCTGCTCCAAATGGTGGAACATTCCTACAGTCAATTAACACAAAGTCATTCCTGTTAGCTAGAGTGTTTATCAACTCTATCAATCTTTATTTAGTGGGTGGTGACCTACCTTGTTGGAAAATTGACAGAGTCACAGAAGTAACGAGCAGGAAGAGGGCCTTTACTGGGACAAAATGAGTTCCATCATTGGCAAATATATGCACCAGCTGAAAGAGACAAGAGGCCAAGACAAATGTTACCCAGGCTGCGTTACATTGTTAGAAGAATGGAAACAAAGAATGTTCAATAGGAGGCGAATCCCACGAGAATGATCTTGCAAACTTCTGTCAACACCAAGGAAATGAGACTGGGCTCAGCAGATCCAGCACCCCGGCTAACTTGCCTTGTACTTGATCTGATTTTTGCAGTCCCTTCCTAGGACCAGGAAGAGAATGTAAAAACAGATCAATTACAAAAAATGTGTTCAGGTATGCAGCAAAAAAATAGAATCAGTTGCCATACAACACCTGAGTTTAAAATATGCAATTGGTACAGGATAAGTTTCATTTGTTTTCAATAAATTTTGCAGCAGCTCTTTTTTTCTCCTTATTCAACTTCCCAGTACAAGCATGGACTGTAGAGTTCTGGTCCATGATCTACGTGGACAATGAAAATCCAAAATTAAGCTGTTTTTCTCTGCTCTCTGTCACCCCCCAAGTTGTGTACTTCAACCCTTAGAAAAACACTTTGAACTTCTGTAATCTGAAGAGCACTTGATGGTTGTAATATTATGCATGTTTTTTTAAAGAAACGGTTTTCTGAAGAAACATTTGCTTGTATTTTCAATAACATTAACAGCCATTTGAGAAATTATGCTACTTTGAAATACTGTACATCGATAAGTCATTGATAGCCACATTTATGGTTAAATAAATGTCTCTCACACCCAGGAAAATGAGCCTTTCTTCTCTCTCTCCTTGGAATAAAATTTCCACGGATAAAGCATTTATATATTAGCAGTGTCAATTAGATTCCAGCATAGGCATCATAAATCAGCCTGGTGATGAGCTTGAAACAATGTAAAATTCAGCAACCCATTTGATTTAAATCCTGCAGGGAAGGACGCAAAATCCTGCTATTTCAGTTGAATGTTTCTTTTAGTTAAGTACATTTGATTACCTGTCGTGTTAGCTCCAACGCAGATGCCTGTGGGATAGTGCTGTACATCTGACCCAGCATTTCGGAAAGCTGTGCGATCATAGGTGCAAAATCATCCAGCAGAGTCTTCACAGATTTTTCAAAGATTGCACACACCGCCTTGAACAAAAAAAATGTAATCATGCAACCATCTAACCTTTTGATCATTACAGATGAAAATAGATCTGATCAAATGGAGAAATTAAATCTTATTGATGCACAAGGCTTTATGGCATCAGAGCTTCCTTGAAATGAGAAACTTTATATAATCTAATTGGCAAAGAACATCACAAAGCACTTAACTTTGAGAATGGTCGTAACCAAAAACATTTTTTTTAATATATAAAACAACAGGCCATTTGACTCACCCCGTCAACTAAGCAAGACAAATGTTATTTAGAGGCTTTATTTGAGGGAGTGGAAGATTTGACAGACAAGGTGAGCGTAAAAAATACATTTGGTAGAAATAGAAACAGAATAAAGGAATTTTAGGGCAAACAACAGGAAGCATCTTAAAGAGGGTAATTAACCACTGAAACAGGTTCCCAGGAATGGTGGCAGAGGACAGGACTCTGGAGATTTAACTGGCAGCTTGATATTATAATAAAAAGCAAATACTGATGGTCTTCTTCAAAGAAAGGGTTTCATCCAAACAAAGCTTATGATCTATCCTATGGTGCATTGTGTTGAAGCTCTAACCTGATGCATCATTATGCCTCCCTTGCATTGAAGGTTTAATTTTTAACAAGAAACAAGATATTTTTCCCACCACAATCATACTCTCTGAACACACGGAAATAATTAATCCCTCATTACAGAAAGAAAGATTGAATAAACAGGGTATGAAAAATAACCTTAGTCCGACGAGTAAGAATTATAAAATGCATTTTTGAAAAACATTAAATCTATTGAGAACATTCTATTACTGTAGCACCTTGGGATCCTCCTGATATGAAAGGTGCTGTACAATGTAATTTTGTATTATATTGCATCCTCAAATGGCTCCCTTACCTCTACAACCTGAGCGTCATTTAACCATTTGGACAGCACTTTCTGGATGAGTTGAAACACCTGTTGTAGAACCACCACCACCTGCGGGCAAACCATCACTGTTAACAATTGCTTTTGTTCCCAAATTAAATTCATATACAACAACAAGCACTTATAATAGCGCCCTTCACACCGGGTAGTGTCTCAGAGCGCTTAACATTGGCAGAGCCTGACTCCACCATAGAAAATCATAAAAAATCCCCCACAAATATTTCCCTGGCTACATCAATAACATTGTAATTCTAAAAAGGCTAAATCAAGTCATGAGAATCCCATGTCAGTACCACTGCTAGTACTTACAGGGTTAGGTCCTTGCAAGGTGGATTTTTTCTTTGCTCCAGTGCCTTCCGGCTCATCGTCATGGTGACTGATATCCAATGTGGTGAACAAATTGGACAACAGACCCAAAATATGTATAATTGCTAGTTTATTTGATGGATTTGGCTGCAAGGGAAGGTCAAAAACAAAGCTATAATTGCATGAAAACAGAACAGAATTATGAGCAACTTAAATGATCGATGCACTGAGCATCAGAACTTAAGTATGTTCATAATGGCCATAACAATTCATAATAATTAACATGAGTTTAATTATCACAGCAAACAAACAAATAAATAAATAAATCTAATAAAAGGAAAATAACTGGTCGCAGTTAACTTGAAAGAATTACTTTAGATGTCAACAAATTATTTATGCAAAACTAAAAGCGACATTACTATATTACACAATGTTCCGCGAAGGAGATCTGAAATTTTCAGAAGCATTCTCAAATTTACAGAGTGCAACAAGAATACATGAATACAATTTAAGCGGATTACAAATAAAGATAAAAAAAAAAGTATACCTACTCAAGAGGTCAACAAAACTAGATAGAGGAAAAAAATAAATGTAAATTGAGGAAAATCACAAAGAAACTCCATGAACCTGAAAAGGCAGCAGAAGATAAGAGAATGAACAAAGAAGAGGGAGGGAAAAGAAGATGGTGATAATTTTTCTTTAGGGTAGATATTAGTTTTTAAAAAAAAAGGAACCTTTCCCAAGCAGCTTCTATTTTTGACAGAATAGGTTCAATTTGTTTTAATATCTTAGGCTACAGAAGACTGGGAATATGTATTGCTTGGACAGTCAAACCCCACCTTCCAGAAAATAAAAGGTTAATCCTAGGAAAATTGCAACACTATGAACACGTAGAGCAGGCAGACAGAATGCAAATAGCTCACATCCGCTGCAAGAATAATCAGTGATGTGAACCTCACAAATTATCAATTAAAACATTAGTCATAGCCTTTGAGCTAACTGTATGGAGTACACATTTACTCAGACAGAGCAACTGAAATTTCATTCTTCAACTTCCCTTCACCCCCAAACTACCGTTTACATGCTGTCAAGCCTATATAAAAAATCTAGATTTTAACTGCATATGCAGAAGATTGAGTCATCTTCAATTGTTATTCTGTAGTGCACGTTGTGCCTTACTGATGTGAAGGATTACTGTAGTTTAAATTCTTACGCATCCCTCTGTTCTCTAACACATAATCGACGAGACAGACATTGGTACATACTACTTTCTCGCACACATTCATTCATATTATTCAGAGATCACTTGGTGACTTGTATACTTCAGCAGAATGCAATACTCAACACATTCTGTCAACTTACTTTTCACAAACTACTCCTTTCTAAACTTCTATTCTTTTAAAACTTACAAATTTACCTAAGTAAATCTGATTTGAGAGATTTTCAGTTCCAAATATTAAATTATTCAGAAGTAAAAATTAAATTTTGAAAATCAAATTATACAGTTAAAAAGTCAGATATACACATTTTAAATGAATTTGAAACCTACAAACTGTGACTTCCACTTCACTTGAACAGCATGCTCTCAGTTTCACCAGATGCTTTCAAGCTGTCGATCACAACTGTGGGAGGTACGTTAGTAACCAATCCGATTTCCACACCTGCTGTACAAGATAAACTACAGTTGTTGGTTACAGACAAATAAGCAGGTATTTATGAACGTAACTGGCAGTAGTACTTTCAAGCAGTCAAGTTCACTGAATACGTGAGGTGACGATTCAAAGTGTTGGCAGAGAGAATTGATGCAAATCCTATTTAAGGCACAATTTCCTCTTCGATCAATTTGCTCTCCTCCCCTATGTTCAAGGCACTGTCTAACATTGCGGCATGATTCCACAGACACTGGAAGCCATTCTTTCTGTGCAAAATCAGACAATTGTTGATAGGCTATTCGAGCATTAAAGACATGAGAGTGAAGTTTGAACCAGTTCTCATGCATACACACGCACGCCTAATAATCCCTCCAAAAAACAAAACAATAATAAATTGGTCATTTTCAATCCATAACTGTTTGTGGGACATTGCTGTGCGCAATTGGCTGCCGCGTTCGCCCACAAATATACAGTCAATTCACTTTACAGTATATTCTGTGAAGCGCTTTGGGACGTCTAGAAGACGTGAAAAGCGCTATAACAAATGCAAGGATTATTATTATTAAATGCACAGTGTATATCAGGAGCAGAGAAACAAGTGAATTTTACCCCCTCAACACAAGAATGCTCAGGTTAATTGTCGCTCCCCAACTTCTGTCACAGCTGAGATCTGTTAACTGAGCCGGCTGGGAATAAAATCCATGACCTTCTGGTTTATACGTCTTAGTGTGATACCAGTGCCATCTTTACTCATTAAACCACTGAGTGCAACTGATTTTTTTTTGTTGAACATTCATGAAGACAAATTCAACATTGCTCTAAATAAAGGAACACAAGAGATAATTTTGAGTTTCATAAGTAATAAGCCAATTGCAATGGAAATGTTGTTACTTTTTTGAGGCGAGGAGGGGAGCAAAAATGAGAAAAATATATTTCTCACCTCAAAATACCTCAAGATTGTTTCTTAGCTGCTCTTGTGCTCAAGAGTATTCAAGCTCAAGTATTTGGCCAGAAAAACTATACTACCAGAAAACTTAAGCTAAGGGTGTCTTACTAAACCACTCTGCCGACATGCTAAACACATTTCCAAACCACCAATATATTTGGCTGGAATCAGATATCACCCTTTCTAACTTAACCTCAAGGAGCTTGATACCAGAAACCCCCCTTCTCAGAAAGCTGTATCATTTATCTTTGGAGCTAAAGCTACAGAAACCAGGCAGCATTGAGTTAAAGGGTTTTGCAGGATACCATTCCCAGATGGGTGAAAACACTTATTGCTCTGCATTGCCTATTTTAAACTGCCAATGGGTGGCTGTTTGAGTTGCATATGAACATTTAGTAAATTATCCAGAAGAGTTTCAATTCAAGATCAATTTACATCAATTGGTCCACTTGACCTAGTTATGAACACACATATTACAACTAATTGTTTGAAAGCATGATGTTCAACTGAAAGTAAAAACTGAAATGTGATTCTCAAAATAATGGAAGGCACAGGTTGAAATCCATTCAAATATTTGTTTCAAAACTAAATGTAGAAATTGTAAGAAAAGGTAAATTTCCAAGCGTATTAATTTCAATGTAAATTTTGTGTTCAAATTGATAGAAGATTTCAGCAGCTGACTTAACATTCAGGAGACAGGTTTAGAAACTGTTTAACCTTCAACAACATATATGGTTCTCTCGCTCAATCACCTCAGTTCTCACAAAGGCTTACCTGTTAATTGTAAGGGAAGGGGGGTGGGGGAGAGAGTCAGCCTTCTGCAAAAATAAGTCACACATATATAGCACCTTAAGTACAACCCTTATCACAGTAACAGGCTCTTGGTTCTGTAAGTCTATATCCAGCTAGTCATTTTCAAGTCTTCGTACTGAAAATAATTAATTCTTCTTCTGTATAATTAATGAAAATTCATCAAAATGTAAAAATTGGAGCCTTGTTTAAAAAAAGGAAAAAAATCAATATGATGGCGACTAATGAGGTGAATGCTTCAAAAATACAGCGATAAAATAGCAAGGACGAAACTGTGCAGTAAGTTGTAATTAGAGCTTTCAGCATGAAGCTAATTGGGAGCTTTCAACAAGATGTCTCCCGAACAGCATGGAACCTGTATTTCAGCTTCTGCCATTCTCCTACCTTTCTCTGTTGAGAAATTATGCCTTCAGTTCATGGCATGCAAATGAACAGATGAAAATCATTCGGAATAATTCACATAAAGAATCATTCACCCAATCCAAAAAATTACAATTAAAAATTAGTGCTATGACGACAGTTTGTTCTCATGGTCAATGATTTGGAACCAGAATGCCTGGTGCAAGCACTATTTTCCAAAATGGACAGCAACATATAGCCCAGCCATATATTCACTTTGGTTTCATCCAAGAAATGATAGTGACATTGATGACAGTCAACCATTTATATTATATTGCAATAGTCAATTGCATCCTCGTCAATGACAAATTCATTTATCTTGATAAGGATAAGATATTGGAAGGGGTGTTGTACTAATCTTGGCCAACAAAAGGCAGCAATTCTCTTGACAATGGACCTTAAAATGATGCACTGCAGCTGCTACTTTGAAACCCACCATGAATAATTTACCCTAAAGGCAATGGGAAATGTCTGCCCCTGTGTACCCCACTCAAAAACAAGTTACATTTGTATAGCGCCTTTCACGACAGTGCATTGCCCTGACAGATTTGAGCTTAATGCTACATTCAATACTTGCTGTACCTGGGAAAGCTCAAATTAATACTGGAGTCACCAAAAAAGTAAATTTCCTATTCACAAAACTGACATTCCTCTCCTTGATTAGACCTGAACCCCAGATATATTTTCAAATCTTTACACAGAATCAGTAAATAGTGGCTTCTTGCTAGATGGGTAGGCAATGCACTGAAAAAATGCATTATTTGAGCTTTTATTTGGCAGCAAGTTTATTCTCACCCAAGGAACAGCTGATAACAAATTCAACAACAATGTCTAAATAATGACCCAAGCTTCTGATAGCACTGTAAATGATTGAGACTAGATAGATTCATATGTTCTTGCTAATGCTCCATTAAAGTGACCCACATGATTTCAATCTTAAATACGAGCAACCATTCACAACAAAATGGAACAGGAAATCCATTTTGAAGAGAATACATCTGGTGTCAACTGCACCGTTTGAAACACTGAAAAGATTTTCTCATTTTCCCCCACGGAGAAAATGGCAGCCAGCGGAGATTTTTGCACAATTTGAAAAGTAAAACTTACAGGGAAGAAGGAGTATTATGGACCAAATAATTCAGTCTAAAGAACTCCAGTTAATATTTACTTACCAGAGAAAACTTAAGCAGGATCCGTGTCAACAATTTCCTTATTAACAAAAATAAGTAACCCACTTTCTTCCCTGAAATCTTGTATGGGTAAGGATAGGGAATCCTGGTGGCAATGTTTTTTTCTTATAAAAACATGCAAGAGTTAGCGATCAGCACAACAGATCACAATTCATTGAAACCTAGTTTCTGACATCAGAAGTTGAACATTTGCCTGCTGAATAGGTACTCCATACAGTTACGAACAAAAAAAAGCTACAGATACTGTAAATAAAGCTACTGATCCCGTTCCTTCCAAACCACCAGTTTACATACGAAATTCAGTTTTCTCCTAAAGGCAATTTAATCTTTCTCAAATGTGCAGTGAAACATTTATAAAAGTACATTTTAAATGGACACAAAGCTGCCTAACAGAAGCTGCCTCTGGAGTGCTAATGCTGTGGAATCCAAAAGTGGGAGCAGAGTGACGCATTGACATGCACTACTAACGAAACATGGGTTATGGGAAGCATGTTTTCACTGATAAGCACTTAGCAAGTGGGGCAAAGGATCTCTTGTGCATTGAACAAAACATACAGGATATAGAAATATAAGAACTGGACATTATCTTTGCAAATTATCCACAAAGTGATGATGTGGTGATAAAGATTTTGTCTAGCACAGAATTGAAGTCCAGTGATTCTCAAAGAAAGCTGCATCCTAGGCCCCTGTGGGGAGCTTGTATAAAATCAGAATATTCTGTTACTTAGTTTGCTCTACAGTGTTTTTAAAATCACCAGTTCAACCTGGTTTAAAATCTTGTGTAGACAAAGTGTAACACTACTCTCCAATAAATAGTATGACAGATCCTGAGCACCATCTGAATGACAGGCAAATGAGATGCCTTCAATGGCCTTTTCTTGATTTTAGAATATTGATATGTCACCCAAATCCCAGCAGTAAGTGCATAATTGCATTAAAAGATTAATATGGTGACATTTTAGCAAAATGCCATTTAGATTTTTAAATGCGCGTTGTTCATCTCATGAATATTCTTATTCCTATGTTATCCCCTTAAAAAGGTTGGAAGTTGCGCTCTGTAGGGAAACATCATATACTCTGGAAATTGTGATATAAGATAATACTGTTGTGACCGAACAAAAGTCTACATTAATCAAATCAAGACATTAAATGTGAGGTTTAAAAGCGTCTTTTGATTGTGAAACTGGCACAACGTCTAACGAAAGGCAGTTGAAGGAAATCAACCTACAAAAGGGCAAAAGGTTACATTTAATTATAAATGATTCAATGATAAGGATGCAATTTGACTGCTGAAAAGTGGATGCAAAATACAGTGTATGAAAGCTTGCTTAGTCTTCTCTTGTATGACAATTCTGCACTGATTGATTGGTTACCGGACAGACGTATACAGAGTAAAATTGATATGGTTTGATAGGAGTGAACTTTAACAGGAAAAGCCAGAAGGAAAATAAAACACAGGAAAACCTACAAAAAACAAAAGATGAAAATGAAGATGAATATTAAGACACTGTAGGTGACATGCAGGCAGAAGACACAGACACAGAAGTTCATGCAATTTCCGAAGCCTTGGATTCAGGGCAGAGTTTATTAGCTGCCGGCTTTTCAATGTACATACCGGCTCATCAGCAAGTTTCTCCAGCTGTTGGATGTAGGGGCTGATGAGCGAGTGCAGGTTCCTAAGGATTTCCTCAACTTGGAGAGCAGAGAGCAGGAATCCCAGTGCCTGCATCAGCCACATACACTGACTTGTCTTGAGAGAGAAAAAATGACAGCTCAGTGAGAGACAAGAAGAAAAGTAAAGACTTTAAACAATGGAAAAAAAACACTATTCCAACTATTCTGTAGTACCAAATGATTGAGAGATCAGCTTGTTTTTAATCAGACAATTAGTAAAATGGAGGATCAAAATGGGCACCAGTTCATCAGATTAACATCAGCAAAATGGCTCGAAATTCAGGGAAACTATATTATGGGGCATGTAGAGCAGGCAGTAAAGTGGGATTATATTAGGGTGGCTTGTGAAGAAAACTCCCGCAGACTAGCTGGGCCACATGGTCAGTTTCTGCGCAGCAACAATCTACCATTAACATTTCTGTAACACGTGTTCAATTGTATTTCCAATCTTATTGGATTGAATATGACAGGCACAATTATGATGGAATTAGGCCTTGTGGTACCTACAGCCACATTCCAGGCAGAACTGGCAAAGCAACCTCACAGCACACAAAGTATACCTCCAAGTTAAACTGAACACATTTTAAAACTTGCTGCAAATTAAAATTAACAAGCAATTTTCAATCAACTAACCTTGTGGATTTGTTTCATTAAAACGTCCTGTGGGAAATGAGAGCAAAACAAAATCTGTTAAATCATTTTCACTTTCAAACAAAATACAGCCCTTAAAATCCAGGCCTGTCGCATCACACATTTATGTAACAGATTTAACTTTCATTTATTTCTAAAAAAAAGTGCCCATGTAAACAAAACTGTACACTCAAATCACTGTGATTTCTAGAAATAGCTTGGAGTTTGCCCGCTCTGTACAAATGCAGTGAAGGAAAACATTTCCTATTTTACGGTTGGCAAACACACAAAAAAAACAATGTGCTTCATCAACCTTCTACATTCTGCCAGTTTTGTTTAAAAAACTGTTATCACTGGTCCCGGAATTAATTTGACATCGAAATTCATTACGTTGTACCCATCTCTATGCAACTTCCTCAAGGAGGAACTGTAGGCAAGTGCAAGTAATTTGCCCACATCAATTCTGCACAACCCTGGCAACAGAATCATATTCAGGAGAGTGGCGCAAAAGCAGAAATAAATTTTAATTTTGTGACTGGCATTTTCAGCTTTATTTCAATTTGGGGCCACAAGCATAGTGTGAAATGACCAAAATTGAATAAGATCTGATAATCTGTCAGTACTTTCTCCAGCCATTGTCCCCCAAATACCACCACCCAAAGGTCTCTCCTTTTAGTTTGGGGAGTAGACCTACTAGGTCCATGGTTGTATCGATTGCTGGTTATTCCATGTACTTTTCAGCAAGAGACCCTCCAAACTACATGCTACTTTTCTCCAAATGTACTTAGACCACCTCGTGCCCCAGCTAAGAACTGGTACACAAAAAGGAAATTCTACAATACAGCTCAATCCTGCAATAATAGTGTCTTTCACTTTCAAGTAAAATCACAAGCACTTTTCTCCATTCAGAGGCGTGTAAATGTAAATGGATATAATAAATGGGTGATATAAAGATGTTATAACTGCTCATCAATTACCTGAGAAATGGCGACAATATTAGCAGCATAGGGAGGTAGGTCATACTTGCATTCTCTGCATATCTTCTTCAGTGTGGACACACTAGATATAGAAAGCTCTGGGTTTCCCAAAGCATGCAGTACTAATGGCAATACACTGTTAATCATCACTGGATGATCAGCCAGCCATTCAGCTAGCGCACCTGCAGAACAAATGGAGGAAATTATTGAAACTATCTGACCAGTTACCAGCAAATATGCAACAAACTGGAAGGCGCGGGCGCGGGGAGGGGAGAAAGCATTTTGTCATTCTGCGGAATAATCTTACAAGATAAACTTCCCAGGGCCGCAAGTGAGACAACAGCAGTCACGCGGCCCATACAATTTTCATAAATGGAAAATAATTGTGCTTATCCAGAAATCATCCATCATGATTTGGCAATAAATACAATCAATGGTTTCCATAACATGGGAACTGGCCGTGTACATCATCTTAAATGGATTTAAGAGGCGTTCCAATGACAACAGAGAGCCCTCATGTTTGCAAAAGGAAGGTTCCACTATACATTAATCATGAGCAATTCACGATATTTCTTAACACAATTTATAAAGTATTTTCCACGTCAGGAGGATGTCTCAAAGCACTTAACTGCAATGGATTCAATAAATGATTTGCACTGAGAGCAGCTAACAGACTGACCTAGTAAAAGGATAATCAGTAATACTTAACTAAGTCAAAAGCCACTTTACCTATGGTAAACATTACTGTATCAGCTAGTTGCACATTGCTGATGTTTATCCTTGGGATAAGTCCAATCAAGCCTGGAATAACATCGGAATAGTTGACATCATTGGTTTCCGCAATGGACTGAAACCCATACAAACAGGCTTCAATGTGCTAAATTTAGAAGGGAGGAAAAAGAAAAAAAGTTAAAGAATGTTCCAAAAAAGTATGTTCCTATTTTATAAATGCATTCTATGAGTATCCATTACTATTTATGCAGTATTTGTTTTCCCATCCTAACACCGAAGGTATAAAATACCAAGTTTGTGTTTTAAAAAGGTTAATTTATCCTTCGAAAATATCTTCCAAAAGTATATTTAAATGACAACCTTAATATTTAGGATTCAGTGATGAAGTCCTGGTAATTTTTTTTTAATTATGGAAGCGGCAGAAAGCAGCCCGCTTCAACAACAACAAGATTGCATTTATAGAGCGCCTTTCACGTCGGGAGGACGACCCAACGCGCTGGACAGTTGGGTCGGGAAACGAGCAGGGGGAAATGGTCAGGGTGAGGGAAGGGAGGGAGCGAGGAGGGGGGAAATGGTCAGGGTGAGGGAAGGGAGGGAGCGAGGATGGGGTAGAGAGTCGAGAGGGGAGCTGAAGGCACGGTCGAAGAGAAAGCTCTTGAGACCGGCCTTGAAGGAGGAAAGGGAGGAAGCGGCGAAGGCACTGGGGGATAGAGTTCCAGAGCCTCAGGGCTGAGAGGCTGAAAGCCCGGCCACCGATGGTAGGGCGGTTAGGGCGGAGGGTGTGGAGCAGACCCGAACCAGAGGAACGGAGGGTATGGGCAGGTAAGTAGGGGGATAGTAGGTCGGAGAGGTAGGAGGGTGCAAGGCCGTGAATGGCCTTGTAGGTGAGGATGAGGATCTTGAATGAAGAGAATCTGCTTCAAAACAGCTTTGGAAAATTCCTATAGTTTGAAATGGGACAACCAACCAATATTTTTTGTGCAAAGACGCCAATGTGCCATGGATGCCAAAACAGTATCATAAACTAGTAAGCTATTGCTTTACATTGCGGATAGCATCTCCTAAGACTTCAGGACAGACTGCATTTGGCCTTTCTGATAAATTAAGTTAAATATCAGAATTTTTTAAAACTAGGAGCCTATGAACAAAAGGACGTGATAAACTCTTAACTCATAATACTTGCCTTGGCAAAGGTAAAGATTCTTTGGTCGAAAAATAGCCAATTGGAAGTTTGATTCTGATTATATAAATTTGAACAAAATAATTAGATGGGAGATTTTCTTAAAACCACACCAGTTTACGTCACTAAAGAGATTGGATGAAATAGTTGGTTAAATTATTCTAGTCTATAAATAAACATTACAATACTGAGGCTGGGAGAAAATGCAACAATTTATACAAAATCCAATCAAAGTGTGATGCAATCATTACAACACAAGATATATGTGTTTGTCATGTCAGGAACAAGGACATTTGGAATCTGACCAACACCTTCTGTTGACCATTAGAGAGAAACAAGGAGTGTATAAATCTCATCAGACTCCTGGTGGTATTAAATGCTAGCTCACTGACAGAATTAGCAGATAATGGATGACACCAAATAGCAGAACTGCTCTGAACCTCCCATTCATTTTCTTTGTGACAAAAGCTATCGATCGATTCATCTGGCTGTTCTGTGCAACAGACTCTTTTGTAAAAGCATATAACGAGGCAAGTAGAAGTGAAAGAAACAATTTGACTGGCTTGATTGTTAGCTTTAATCTCCTGACAGCAACTATCGGGTAGCTTAACAATCAAATGAATAAATGAAAACTCACTGAAGGAACAGTACACACAATCTCATTAAAAACGTCCTCAATAATTATGCAGAATTTGTTCCATCTTCACTACTATTGGTTGCTAATGCCACCAAGAGCTTTGCTGACAAGATTTGTTACTTTAATCCTTCCACTTCCTCCTTAATGCAAAATTAACGAATGAATGAAATTGACATTACAAATTTATAAAGGTCACGTGGATCTTTGACTGGCCTGGTTGCCTATGCAAGGAATATCAAAAATACCTGTTGGCTCGATTTTTGTTGAGAGTTGATGATAGAACAAATATGAGCCAATACAGAGAATTGCTGAGATTGAAGGTGCTATCCAAATATCACTGAACAAGGAGTGCTCTGAGCATTGCTGCAATAGCTACAAATTAGGTTTCTCACTTGAATCTGCAGTGTAAAAACACGTCTGAAGCACACCAGGGCAGGGGAGAGAATTGAAATAAAGGAGGAAAAAATAAAAATAAAAAAAATAAATAAAAAATCTAATATATTGGAATTATGACAAATGCTGCAATAAAAATGATGTATAATAAACAAAGTGTTAATGCTTATCTGAATGCGAGGATGTGAGGAAGCTTGCAGAACGCTTGGGAGCTTGCAGAATGTGAGAATAAGTTTGCGGGTGACAGAACACTTGGATATGGGTGAGACAGCAGAAAACAAGCACTGATTGAATAAATGTGAAAGTGTGAAATAATGCAACTAGGTGCAAACTTATGTGAATAAATATGCTGTAAACACAAGTCACAGAAAGTGAGTGAGAAGTCCTGATCAGGCAAAGGACTGTTGCCAAATTAAATATTAATCTTAACCCACAAGGGTAATTTTCTGTAAAATAGTCAATGCGGTATGATAAAGAATTTAGTTTTCAGAATTCTACAGTACAAAATTCATTTGGAATAAATGTTGACTACTTTATACAGAAACTTATAATAGCACTGCATTATAATACTGGAATAGCAAAACAAAAGGATTGGAAAAAACACCTAAAACTATTTTCATGATGGGTTTTAAATAAAGTACACATCAAAGTGTTGTGGGCATCTGATTTGCAAAACATAACATCAAATAGATTATCCACAGTCATCATAAGCAACATCATCTTTCAAAGTGGTTTGGTTCAATTTATGTCATGAAAGTGGAACTGCGAAATCCAAAGCAAGCATTGCACAATGTCAGAGATTCACAGTAAAAGAAAGCAAAAGTAATGAAATGGGATAAAAAGACAGAAATTTCACCATCAATCCAGTCATCACTTTAATAATAATAATATAATAATCCTTGCATTTGATATAGCGCTTTTCACGTCGGGAGAACGTACCAAAGCGCTTCACAGAACACACTGTAAAGTGAATTGACTGTATATTTGTGGGCGAACGCGGCAGCCAATTGCGCACAGCAATGTCCCACAAACAGTCGTAGATTGAAAAATGACCAATTTATTATTGTTTTTGGTTTTGGAGGGATTATTATTAGGCTCTGTGTGGAGTAAGGAAACTTGCCCAAGGTTTCGCCCTCTGCCTGGAATTGAACTCAGGTCTCTCACTTGCAAAGCGAGTGCTCTAACCACTGAGCTACAGGACTCCACTTTGACACAAAAGAAAATTGCTCCTCAAATGCAAATCCCTGATGTGAACATTTCTGTTCAAATGGCTAAAATTGCTTTATGTACATTGTACAGAATAGAATATTGGGCACAGTTCACACTCCTGAAATAAACTCATGCTGTCAGACCATTTACCACCTGGGATATCTACTATATTATTGTTGAACGCTCCAAATACATTGTGGCCTTTGTTCAATATACAAGTTATTAATGCTGGAGCTAACCAAATCTATATTAGAATTATTAATGAGAAACCATTTTCCTTAGTATAGTGATGGATAACAGAGGCACTATTAATGTGAAATCTGAATGCAATGATATTTAAGGACAGATAAAAGTTCTTAAAGAGAACCCATGTCATCCCAATTACATTGTGATGGACATGACCAAAAGCTGATAAAGTCATCTAATAGCAATTGGCAGATACAGTTGCAGAAAACAGCAGACCATGTGCGACTTACATTGTCTGCAGAGCTGTCCTGAAAGATATAGGTAGTTATACTGGATTTTGCTGTGGTCTTATGTTGGTAGAACAGATGCTACAAGCATGAAAAACATCAAGAAAGCTCAGCCCTGCATAACTGCATTGGCAAATAAATTCTAAATCCTTTCGAGAAAGACCCTGTAGTTCCAATTGGGTGTCTGTAGAGAATATCCATCACATGTTCCTGGATTCGTAGTCCAGAGACATGAGGACCAGTGGACCGGATGATGTTAACCTCTTTCATTGCCTGATGCCAGAATGCCTCAGACTCCAAATTCATGCCTGCAGCAACACCTCAAGTACTAGCATTTCAGACAAACCACCACAAATCTGCCCAGTGATGCTGCAAATATTCTGCATCAATCCAAGATAACTGCACAAAATACAAATAGTGAAGTTTTACATGCCTGTGGGATTCTCACACGAGTCGTGCTACTATCTGAAAATGTATCCTTTCTGTGCAGAATTTCAAATGCAGAAATTAAACATCATTTATTGAACCAGGGTTACTACAACCTATTTTAGGTACGCTTAACTTGCTCATTTGTATCCCGAGAAGAAGAGTTTCTTACCCTGCATTGATATTTCTCATATTGATGAGCATTAAAAAGGCTTGTGCAACAAAGAAAAATTGGAGCGCTAATGGATTGGATCAGCTTTTAGAGAAGCTATTATGCACTATAATCCCCTTGGGAAACTTTCCACAGCAAATGAAGATTAGTGCCTGCACGGTTACGTTTTAACGAGTCATCCATTCCATTAGGCAGATAATTTCAAACGTTAAGTCTACGAAATTCAAAGGAATTTGCAACAGATGTACCTCGACAGGCTTGATAATGGGAAGTGTTAAGAATCAACTCTCGATACTTCATGTTCTGCTTCAGGATTTTGGTCAAATCGTGCTGGTACGTCAAACAAAAACATCCAATTTGGTAGCTGTAGCTTGTAAAATGGAAATATAACTGAAACAACAGCAGCTCAGTATTTTCTACCCATTTGCTGTACCCGAATAATTCCAGATGCAAGTCTTTCTGATGTGTTTGAAGCAACACTCCTCTTTGTAAGGCTTAGCATTCTACTCCTGCATTTGATGCTAAAAATCGAATAAAATTTTGACATTATGTGTAGTGCAAAAAATACTGCTTGCCCTGTTGCACAAAGAGTAACCTATTCATTTCCTGTCTGTGTTGTACATTAGTAAGAAAATGCAGGACAAGACACATAATGAGTTTAGTGAGAAGCCCTGGTGTGCTGGTTTTAAGATTTTTTTTCTTCTTTTTTTTTAAAGAAGGTGTTTCACCACCATACTGTAATTTAATGTGTGGGGAAGAAATAACTGGCTAAGAAAGGGTTTGTGTCCTAGAAACAAAATGGTACAGTTTACTGTGGACCATCCCCAATGCTATAGCTTGAATACACAGTAGTATTCACACATAATCTTACTTTTAGCTGTATATTGCTTCCTAGTGAAGTGCAGTTTGCAAAGCAGTGCACACAATTATTAGGATCATCTGCAACACTTAATGCAAGTGTTGGTTATTTAAACCAAAGTGAACAGGAATTTATAGAACTCTAGAGATACCATAAAGAATAACGGATATTCAGGAGTGATTGCATGGCTACGATCACATCGGGTCTCAGATGAAAAACTGCAAAAGCAAATCTTACACATTTTACCAAACTCGTCTGAACTGTGGGTTGAATAGCCTCCTTCCATGCTTCTTTCACAGGACTTGACATCACATACAATTTCAGTTTCTTTATAACAATTTTAGGGATTGGTTTATTCTATTCCCGATCTTTTTGTTGCAAATGGTTGTCAGATGGTTCCTGCTCACTCCATATCGTTGATACATGACCATAACACTCAATTCTCAGAAAGCTTAGTATGCATTACAAAACATTGTCAAATCTAATTAATAAATCATTTAATGTACATCACTCTCCGTTTTCCAATGTACAATTGTGCACTGTATTTTTACCAAATGCATAATATTTGGACCTCTTTCAATACACTTTTAAGTCTGGTTCAGAAACTAATTTCGTAGATTGTATTCCCTGTACTATATTGTACATTATGTCTCACTGCAAAATAGTTTCTATTGAAATATTGAACAATACTTAATGTAATGTAAATGGCACAGAATTGTATTTTCCATAACAGCATTTACAACAATTTACCACTTTTCACCTTTTTTTAAAAAAATAACTACTTACCTTCAGTTGTCCTAAGTACTAAGCAAATTGTTCCTGGTACAATTAACAGAATTTTCACTAAAGATGAATTTTAAAGCAGGTTGCAACTTTATAATCCAGCTACCATCGGGCAGATTCAATAATAAAACATAGCATTATAGATAAAAATGCATGTACATCCCATATTATTTGTGGGTTTGTATTTCCGTCATTTTGTGCTTATTTTAGAATGTCAGAATTTGCATTTTTTCCTGCATAATCAGTATCTTCATAATAAAGTACCTTTGCCTATTATATTCAGGATAACCTATAAACTAGAAGAAATAGATGTTTTACAGTATACTTTATTAATGAAAGAACACAATACGTTACCTGCCATGAAGTTGATTGCTCGGTGTTAGTTAACAGTCTTCCTAATTTGTCATATAGATTACTTAGCAGCTCAGCTCCTAGCATTTCATATACATACATTAGAGTATCCGAGATATCAACTCTGCCAAAAAAAAACATTGTTTGCATTAATTAGAGAGCCGTGGCACAGGAATTGAAAAGTTGCAATGATACACCATGCACCCCGCAATATAGAATAGATGTACATTTCCTCACCTGTATATCCTAAACTGTTCCTTTTCATCAGAGGACCATGAGCTATATTCTTCATCAGATGGAAACTGGGCCTTGTGAAGTAGAACATCGACAAGTTGAAAATAAACTGGGCGATATACGTGTAGGTATACAGCCTGCTTCTCAGCCTCAAATGACATTATATCATCCTAGATATCAAAAACAAGAGAACAGTATTCTAGTTACATTACGATTTGAAAGAATTTTTTTAATAAAAAGAGTAAAACACCAGACAGACCTGAACAACCTATGCACTCTAGTCCTGTGGTTTTCACACCAATGAAATGGCTCAAAGTACTGTAGAATTCTGTAATTTAAGGTGTTAAATAATATCTCAAATTATATTTGCCATGTTTATATTTTTTAGACTTATAATCAATCTCATAAGATATGATGGGAGCCGGTTGTGACCGGCTTCGCAAAAGATCCTTTCTCAAGGATGAGAAACAAAATACTTATAAACAACAAACTGTTTTCATTCCTTTTCAGTCATTTTCTCATGTAACAGTGGTCTGCAGCTATTTTAACATGGGAGAGAGATAGGTTGCATTTTTTTCCCCCACAAAGGAACCATCTTGCAAAAGACAAAAGGTGAAAGGTCACCTAACCAACTGTATAAACGGAGATCGATTCGAAAACAGAATCAAAAGAAAGAATGGAAGAAGAAATAAAGAAATTGGAACTTAAGAGTCGCAAACCATATTCCAGTTTTTAAAGAAGGAAGATCAAGACTACAATTTACCCAACAGTCAACATCAAAATAACTGGATACTTCTGGATGATCGAACTGGGAAATGTACAGTAATAATTGGGATACCTTTTGACTGACATTAATAAGGACACATTAAATCGGACGTTGCTCCTCTATCTCTTCCGTAGAGAACTTAAATCGTTGTGAACTATACGTGGATACATAAGCATGATTGTGATGTATTCTTTTAATTACTTATAACCATTATTAAACAAAATTAATAAACCTCGATTAATTGTACAACATTTGTGTCAGTCCCTACTTCACCGCAGGGTCACAAATGTAACCAACCCTTACAACTGGCGCCTGGACAAAGTTTCATTGTGAAGTGTGGCAACTGTGAATTTTGTCGGCAAACACAGCAGCCAATTTGCACACAGCGTTACCCCACAAACAACCATGGGGTGAGTACCCCATTTTATTTGTAGGATTGTTGCTAGGACACGAGGAGAAACTCCCATCTCTTTTCGAATACTGCCACCGGATCATTAACATGGTCCACCTGAACAGACAGACGGGATCTCAGTGTACTGACTCATCCAAAGGATGGCACCTCTAACATTAGAGCACACCCCCAGCATGAATTAAAGTATCAGACTGGATTACATGCGCTCTATGGTCCAACGTGGGACTTGAACCCACAACCTTGAGACTGAAAAATGTGCCCAGTTTCAAGGAATCAGAAGGATGATTTAAGAAAATCGTAGGAATATCTTCTCAATCTGGTGACAGCTTAATTGTTGTGAAGAGAAAGGTCAAAGATAAAATGCAGCTACCAATGTAGCTTTTTAATCAGTCGTTCATTAAGTAGGTTCATGGGTAAAATGCGTAAACACGTAAAGTTTGTCGCAAGTAGTGAAGAAAATGCTTATCAAAACAATTGCTCATTTTCTTTTCAAGATTGTACACAACACACATTTCCATTAGCTGTGAAGCGCAATCTCAGAGGGAAACCAAAGAACAAATTTCCTCAGTAGGCTTCTGTCCAATTTAATGCCATGGACCATGGGTTTCTGGTATAAAATGGTACCTGCTCCAGGTTAAAACTATACACAGCATCCCAATTCACCTTTAAAGATATTCATTCACAGACAATAATCCTGCTGCTCTAACCTGATAAGCAAATTTACTCTCTGTGATGTTAATTTGAAGCAAGAGATTATGACTGGAAAAGCTTTATATTTCCTTGCTCCAAGATTAAACACCTACAGTATCATTACCCTTGAAACTCCATTTAGCTAACAGGCAGGAAATGGTATGAGCTAATACTGTATATCCATCTTTTAGCGGATGATTGACAATCTAAAGGTTTTATAAGGTGGAGGAAAGATGGATTCAGACAAGTAAAAAGGTATTGCTGCAATTCAATGGCACTTTGAATACATTACTCATCAGATCTGCTTAAACAGTTGGAATTTAATAATTCAGTAAAATAAATGACCAACCTAGACTTGATATTTACATTTGAAAACTTTTTTTTTGAAATCTTCTACCCTAGTTTTGTACAAATGCTCTCACTGCTTTAAATACTAGCTTAGATCAAACGCATCAGATTGTTTTTGATGCATAAAATTTGAAGAGGCCATAGTAGCCCATCAAGCCTGCTACTTAAGTCTTGGGAAAATCTACCTATGGATGCCAACTCCTTCCATGTCCCTGGGGCAAGTATTGTATAGTTAGCCACACTACAACAAATATAATCATGCAAAAGCACCAAAACATTGATATCTTTATTACTCAATCAACAACAACCATCTGCATTTATACAGCACCCTCCATGTCAGACAACGTCTCAGAGCGCAACTTCCTTCCCTGCTCAGGAAACATCTCTTCACCCATGGCTTATGATTGTTCACTTCACCAGACAGAAAATCAGGATATACTTTTTTTAAGGATGACTTTTGTGTTCATTATATCTAATTGCATTCTTCCTGGGAGGATGGAACATTGTTCATGCTTGGAACTCTTGTTCACATCAAGCTGAATCAAGATGTACATTGAAACATCCTCTTTGTAAAAATAATTTTCTATCGTACCAGTGTGAAAGATCAGCTTTTCATCAGTTACAGGATGACAGCTGTTCATTCTTGTGCCTTTTCCGAGCACAACTTTCAATTATCAATTTTGCTTAACTGACTCAAAGTCCAAGCCACTGATTTCCTTTATCGGAAACTGCAATTCAAATTACTGCAACAAAACCTTATTGTAAACCTGATCAATTGCAACATTTTTGCTGTTATCCAAAACTGCAGTACCTGTACTTCCTTTAACAAAAATAGCATCCACATTTTGCATATTGTTATAGTCAAAATAATTGTTCTATAATGGCTAGAGGGAAGAGGAATCACCATGAACAGCTGTATTTATTCCAATTGACTAAGCACTTCAGACAATTTGAAAGGCAGTGATTAGCCACAAAAAGCATCATTTTAATATTAGATTCATGGAAGACGAGACCTGGTGTCAACCAGACTTGTTACCTTATCCCTAAAACACTAAGCAATTATTGCTAAGGTATATTCACATTTGTGACTAAATATCTTACAGAAAAATAAAGGTTCCGATTGCATTAGATGGAGTTTTTTAATATATATTTTAGATCATATATATATATGGTTTATATATTATATATACATACACACAAGAAATATGATCTTGAGGAGATATTTTATTTTAAAAATGATTGCACCAATTAGGGTTTTGTCCCTTTCTAAATCTCAATCACCATTTATTTATTTATTTATTTTAAGCTAGATTCAGGATGCCTACAATTCTTCAATTTACAGTTCAAAATCGACCAACCAAACAAGGAAGTGATGATCAGAATACATCACTGCACCAAATCAATGAAGCAGCCACTGCCTGGAACATTAACTCCACAGAGATCTAAATCATTGTCAGACTTAGGTCTTTGCATTATTATAGTGCATTTGGACTGTTGTTCAATCCAGGCTAATAATGAGACATCAGTGATGAGGATATCAGTGATTTGCAAGCAGAACGACAGTAATAGGAAATTCAGCCCAGTGATCTGTCAGCTATGCCCTTCCATGCTTCGCTGAACTCTGTCGGTTTCCTGCTGTGCTCTTCTCTTCTTACAACTACTGATCATTTTTGAAATCGTTAAAACAGCACAGGCCTGCCATTTCACAAGCTGGTCTGTGAAATGTTCTATTAAGAATATGCCCACCTAGCATTTAATTGCAATTCTCATACCAACTACTGGCGATAATTCTAAATGGTCTCTTCCTAACTGCAGAATGTGAATTTATTATTTTCAACTACAGATCTATACATGACATGCAATGAGATGGTGGCAGATGACTTGCTCCCAAATCTCTGCCACACTGACGCACAAGATAATTTCTCTCAGATTTCCTTCCCCTCCCCCCACATGGGAAGCACCAAGCGACTAATGAAACCCTGCAGCAGGAGCGTGTAGACAGCTAGAATTCAGTAGCAAGGGCAAAACTAACCTTCGGATGAGATGTTAAACCGAGGTCCCATAAGTCTGCTCAGGTGGGCGTTAAAGATCCCACTGCACTATTTGAAAATAGCAGTTTTTCTGGTGTCCTGACCAACACACCACCAAATAAAATTGGTTACTCACTTCATGGTTGTTTGTGAGACACTGCTGTGTGCAAATTGGCTGCTGTATTTCACCCATAAAAAAGTCAGTACACTTTACAGGATACCCCATCAAGCACTTTGAAATGCCTCGACGATGTAATAAGGCTCTATATCAAATGCAGGGATTAATATTAATCTACATCCCATCAGTGTTGTAGTACAACATGTTCATGCTCCAATGCTCTACATTGCCAATGCCCATTTACTTTTCTCTCTTAATTTCACACAGCAATAATAAACAGCATTTTCTGATCAATAGTCACATTAGGATTCACCTACGATTATCTAATTCAAAATGCAGAGGAGTCCATGGAAGAAAAATGCCCATATTATGTACCTCATTCTGAGATCACTCTAACCATCTATGATCCACCGACCATCTTTAGAAACGCACATTTCCCATTAATGTTTGGCTCATTACATTTCTAGGTGATGAAGCTAAAGCTATTTAATGTATTACAACACGTTTAAATTACACAAAGAGTGAATCACACTCTGAGTGTTTGGATAGCCTGAAGGGTTGATTGACAGTTCAAATTTGGCTATTTGGGTAGTTCCAGTACCAGATAACAATTCCCTCACCATCCGATCAGAGGATAGATTCCAAGTGTGGCATTGTGCAAAGGTTGTGAGATTTCAATAACATTCAGGAAATCTATCTAAACAATGGAGCAACATTGCTATTCAAATCATTACATGCTTCTGGAACTAATGTATGCTCAAAGCTAAAGGGTGGTGTCACCCATTAGTCATTAGATGATCAATTCAAGGTCTTAGAAGCTTGCCCTTTTTAAACAGATTGCCAGCAATCTAAGAACTGCTGCCATAAACTCCCAAGATTTTGAAAACTGCCATAGCAGGTCCAATTTCCATTAAAAAGACCAATAAGCAACATAAAGGGCATTGACTGTTTTAGAACGCGAAGATTCAGAATAAATATAGCATTTTCTGCACGTACAATCAATGTTGTTTAGATGCAGGCTACGTCACAAATTTGTTATCTTATTTCAGGGATGACAATACTCCTCCAATGACCATGTCAAAATACAACTTCTGTGGATAATTTTTTTTCAAAATCAAAAAACTCCTCATAGGTCTCACAATATTGAGAACTGGGTCAGGTATTTGCTTTGGGCAAACAAATTTTTATTTTATATGAATCAAATTTCTCCAGACACATCCTTTTCAGTAATACATTGAACCCATTGCCAAAGCAGACATAAACCCTTCACTGAAAGCACAGGATAATCAAATATTCACTCCTCTTTTGCTTAAAATGGATTGGTAAGCAATTTGGAAAAGTGACAGAGAAATGGTCTGACTTTGCGTGATGAATAGTCAATGGGTGCACTAACTCATCCAGCAGATGTGCACAATCACATGAATATTCATTAAATTTGTATGAGGCTCAGTGTTTTCTTCAGATTCAAGGAGCACTGGTCAAGTCGGGCTACAACCAAAATCTATTGCACATAATGTGCATTCAAACTGATTCTCTTGGTTTTTTAGTAAAATTTAGGGAAGGCATTTGGAATGAGAATTAGGCTCTGCTGCAAGTTGTTGGCAGAAATTCTCCATTCCTTCTCTTGCAGATGCAGATACATCAGGTGCACCATTCCGCAATGAAGGCAAAATAATATTTACTATATACTGCTGAATCTTTCATCTTTAAACGAATGCCGAAAGTCACATCTCTCACAAATAGAGCGGTTCTAGCTGTAATTGTAACCATGCCTTGATTTATTAAAGCATGGCCTCGCACACGTTTTAACGTGTGATTTAGTATGAAAAGGACTAGAAAGAAACCCACTCTTGGACCCCAATAGGAGGCATTATGTTCAGAAAAGGGCTTTACCAATCTAATTACATATTACACTTATCTTTCTTACATTCAACAGGGATTCCAGAATTAAGATGATAAAAGAAGGAAGACTGTATATCGTTCCTCACAATAAGAATTTGATTTTTTAAAAAGTTTTCATACCTCAAGTATCCTGCAAACTAACAGATCCAACTGTGCAGTAATATTATATAGCATGTATGGCCTTTGGAATCAGGGCACAAACTATCTTACATTTCAGATTTACCAAGGTTTTGCTTCATTTCCTTCCCTCTCCCCGTGATGGACGTAGGCTCTCCTGCTGAGTCCTGCAAATAGGATTTTCTAAAGGAACCCCCCTCCCCCCCATGCCATTACAGACAACTGATTCAGTATTAAGTACCCATCATTACTGTACTAACTGAAGTGCTCAGATTGACAGCATTTACCCATCTATGGGGAATAAATCGTTTCCGCTCAATCTATTATCCTTTATCCAGATGCCAAAGCGCCACAGTTTCCATTTTATGTATGGTATAATTTTTTGTATAAAAACAACTGGCTTGGCACCAGTGGATTTAACTCCCAACTTTTTAATTCTTTGGACGCTGGATTCAAACTTCTCCCCTCTTCTAAAGAGGCTGATGATTGCTGGGGTATGGTTCTATACGTTCCAGTCAGTCACCCTCTGGTACCTACCAAAGTAGTCAGCTTTCAGAGTAATGCAATGAAGTTTAAAGGCAATGAAAATGGTCAGCTAGGTAAAGCAATAGCTCTAACCAGGTAGCCAAGCAATGTGGATAACATCTAAACTAATGATGCCCATAAAGTACTCAGTGTGCCGAGTACTCAGTTTTGTCCACAAAATATACAGTCAGTTCACTTTACAATATATTTTGTGAAGTGCTTTGACGAGTCTCAAAAACATGATAAGGCGCTGTATCAAATGCATTATTATTATTATTATTACTGCCTGGGCATCATTACATTGGCTTCCCAGGTTTGGGGGGAGGGGGCCGGGAAACAATCACATTTAATTGACGTTCTCCGCTACTATTTTTGTTCTGTTCCTCATTCATCACAGACATTCCTTTTTAAAAAAAATTATTCAACCAAAGCAATGAAAACCTTTGGAATGAAGAACAAACAGAGAACATCCAAGTTTGACTTTTACTGCTTAATTCGAAGGTCGAGGATCTGTCTGCTCCACAGCTGAAGGAAAAACGTCATCGAAGGTGAATTTCTACCAATGCTTACAAATAATTCTTATGTAACATACTGCTGAAACTAATCTAGTCACACTAGGTCACTCACTGGCACCACTTTGATACGGTGGCAGTTGCCAATCATTTTAACTGAATAGAAAGAAAGCAGTCAACCAAAACACTGGAGAATCTGCTCAGTGGTTTTAAAAAAAAGCCCATCTGCAGGGTACACAACAGTTCTTTAGTATTTTCTTAAGTTTTCTGTTGAGTTACCAATCCTAATGAAGAACTCAAAGATACAGAAGTTATTTTGCTCATGGGAGAAAGCCTTTTGTAACAGAAGAGTGAAACAGTGCCATGCAGGGCCTTTCTCATGTTCTGTGGGTTTTAAAAAGTCTGAATTTTATTGCAATGTTTACTAATGCATCATTTTAGGACATTACCCAATATCTGATCGGCAGAATAACAGAAGAAGTTACGTTGCTAAATTAGCATGAACCAGTTAATAGGCTTCCGTCAAAGTTCACTACCACCAATTAAATTCCAATTCAAGTCAAATTGTATCCATACAATCATTTTTAATATAATATTTAGGTTTATTGTATACAATATTTTTTATATTTAAAGAATAAAACACCATTTCAATATAGAATTCTAGATCACCTTAAAACTCAGCAAAGGAGACCCCTGTGGTCATTCAAACTTAAAATGTCAAACACAGCTCAGTCTCATTCCTAGTAATATAATCTGTTTCTAATAATAAATGTTGGTCAGAAGGCATGTGCTGTAACTGTTTGAATGCTGAAATTCATTCTAGTGGGGCAAACGGAAGCACTACCTCATGCAGTTAATGCTTGTGTCATAATCTCAGAAACATTGCAGCCATAAAGGCATCTCAAGTATAAGCTGTCATTGCCAACCACATCATCATGGAAGAAATAGAATAAAAGGATAGGACTGCCAGGATATATATTACAACAACTCAGTGACTAACTCAATAAACTACTGCTAGTATCCAGTTTTCTTTACGGGTTATCAAGTATCTGAAGTGAAATTAGTTGACACAAGGACATCACATAAAATTGACTAAATATTAACATTGGACAATGCAACAGATAGCTGGTGAACGGATTAGAATGTTACACTGATCCAGTATAGGAAATGTTTTCCTGGAAGCCAGGATCATAGAGATAACAGACTGTCTGGATAAATTTGTGTTTTACTTCAGGAAGTATAACTTGTGTGAGTTTTGCACAAGACTGAATTGAAACCGCAGAGCACTTTGCTCATCATACCTGTAATGTGTACCAGAAAGTGAGAGTTAAGGAGCTTGTGGTTTCGTTCACTGGGTAATGACCTGGAATTCCTGTGCAGAACATGATCATGTTGACGAGTGCTAGAAAGGTCTGCCAGTGTTCCACCTGTTCCAACAAGGCTCTGTACAAGGGATAAATAGATCAGTAAAAAAAAACAACTACCCCCAGATACGCACATGAATTCACAGCAGGAAAAGTGAAAATACAGTGGAAGCCACATTTGAATTAATTGATGAGAATCTTTAATTCGATCTGCCGGTGAGCCAAAGAACAGAAACACGTACAAAGATGACGCACACTTTATTTTATGATAAGACAAATAGTCTGCTGGAGTTTTCCTCCTACCCAGGCAGATTAATTGTTACAGGAGACACCCAAAACATTGCCAGATCAAATATTTCTTTCAAATACCTTAAAAAAAGCAAATATTTAAAAATACCACTCACATCAGGTTTCATCTCCTTTTAAATAAAAGGTTGTCTGCAATTGACACTACTTAATGGGAATATGATTAATGAAGACTTTTTAAAATGAAAACATTCTTTAAAAAATAATTTCAAATATCAATGTATCTGATTTAAAAAGATGCAATCTTAAACACTGGAGAAGCTATTACCCCACACCCTAAAAAAAATTCACCATAATTTTTTCAAATCCAATCACTTATAAATAAAATTTAGTTACTTTCTAATACATCTTAGAATCAACTCATTCCACAGCAACTTTGGTTGAAATCACTTTATTGTAACAGAGAATGTCCTTCAGTTAAACAAGTGAATGAATGTTAATTTAATGGCTAAGCCCATGTTTCGTTGACTGAAAGTAAAGTTTCTTCACAAGTACTAAATCGACACAAATTCCTTTAGCCTAAGCATAAGTTTCGCCCACAAAATATAGTCACTTTACGGTATATTCTGTGAAGTGCTTTGAAACATCTAAGACATGATAAGGTGCTATATCAAATGCAAGAATTATTATTATTAGCCAAAATGACCATTTTGGTTGATTGTTCAGTCATTGAAAATATTCCTACTCTCAAACTCATTGCAAATGTGTGGATTACCAGATTGGTTTGGATAAGGAATTTCGGCCCATACGATTTCATCCTTCCAGAACACTCACCTTAGTGTCCCCAGTACAGCATCAAGCTGCATTTTAAGGATGATGTGGACTAAAAAATAATGCAGGCAAGGACAGGAAATTTCAATCGAATGATTTTGGATTAGCAACTTAATCTAAAAAGCTCAGCCAAACCCTGTTGCCAAATCACCTTGTAATATTTACAGTTGCTCTCAACTTCAATACAATACATTACTATGAGAACATACTTTGAAACGGAAAATTAAACATTTTCTTTTTCTCTGGAGCAAATCAGCCGCATTCACACAAAACAGGAACGCATTAAATTCATTCTGCGAGATGTCTGCTTCTACATCATCACTATAATGAGTACATGGCTATCGAAGTAGTCCCTGCAAATTGTATAAAGAGGAGGAAAGATTCAACTGAAACCTCACTGCTCTGCAAAACTATAGCAATATTCTTAAACCTGCTTTCCCGGCCCGAGCACAGCTAATGCTAAACAAGCAGCTGTTGTTTTGCACACCTCATCAGGGAATGATGACAGATCTGGGTATGAGATGCTTATCCATCCCGTTGAGAAGCAAAGTAACCACAGAAAAGGGGACAAAACTGAGGTATGTTAAAAATGTTCAAAAATAGGCAGAAAATATTTGCCGAATACTAAGGTACACGCACCATGCAATGTCATTACACATAATTCAAGTTTCAAAACAGTGGATTTAAAATGTGGTTTAATCTGAGCGATTTATTTTGATTCAGGTTCTTTTTAGGGAGCTAGCTACGTAACATTGAGGACGTTTGTAAGCTTCATAGCACTGGATATTTAAAAAGACAAGTGGTAAGGAGTAGTGGAAGAGGGGTAACTGGTATTGTGTGGGGGGGGGGGGGGGGTGGTGGAGTGAGAGAGAAAGGCAGGTAGATTATTCTCTAGAAAATTAATCGATGGTACTATAACTCTTGTTGAAGTAGATCAAGAGGCAATACGTTTGTGGAAGATGCTGAAAGAGGAAAATACAACAAACTGCACCTTGAATGGTTTTCTCCAAGAGTCACAGCAATTCTGCAGATCCCGTGTGAAGTTTCCATATCTCCATTTTGAACGGCTTGTCTCAGCTGCTCCTGCAGCTGCAGCACCTGTGGGATCAACTTCAGTAACGTGTTCACATATCTGCAGGGATCCAGAGAAAAACAGCAGTCAAAAACAAGTAAAGAAATTGCAGGCAATGTCCCTGAGCATTTTAAAAAAATCAAACCATGGAGTTTAAACTTAGACTACTTTCAACAATTAAAATGGTTGCAGTTCAAATCACACATCACAAAGTTCAAATGGCAAATCCTCTTATTCATTTTGACATTGGTCTTCCGGGTGGTGAAAGGACAAGAAATAGTGCCAAAATTCAGACCCAAATTAAACATTGATCAGGAAGTAAAAAGCTGGTGTAAAATCTTTTTACCACCAAAAATATACTATGAAGAATATTTATCCTTGCGTTTGATATAACGCCTTATCACATCTTCAAGACGTCTCAAAGAGCTTCACATTATATACTGTAAAGTGACTTGACTATATTTTGAGGGCAAAATGCGGCAGCCAATTGTGCACAGCAATGTCCCTTAAACAGCCATGGATTGAGTGATCAAATTATTACTATTATTATTTGAAGGAATTATTACCCCTGGAAAAACAATCTGCCAATCGACTAACAACCGGGTTCCTACTTACTGCTAGGTAAACAGAGGCATGTGGAGTAAGAAAACTTGCCCAACATTTCGTCCTACTGGGAATCAAACCCAGGTCTCTCGTTTTTGAGGCGAGTGCTCTAACCACTAAGCTGCAGGACTCCATCTTGGTGTGTGGCATTAAAGAAGATTCCTTAATGCCACATGCACATGAAATGTTTTTTTAAAAAATCATAATTCATAGATCAATCCTATCCTCAGAAAACAAGAGCAAAATGTTCCTAACTAACTAGTAGTAATGTGATTTTGCACATTCATTTTGACAAAGGTGAAAACGGCTATAGCACCTTGGCCTCAGCAGTGCCTTTTCATACGAGGTCAGAACAGTGCTTTTCACCTGATCTCAAGTCAAACAATCTCAAGACGCAACTAAGCATCTAATGACAGTAACTTCACATCGACTGTAAACTCTCAATGATTCATGATGACACACAAATCCTTTTCACTTCGCCGCACCACCTTTAATTAACACGCCATCATTGCGTATGCTTTCTTGTTCCATTATACATTCTCATATTTATCTATACTACCTTTTCTTACTCAGTTGGACTAGACCGTTTTTGAATGCTATTAACATTAATTGGACAAAGCAAATTAGCCAAATCTGGAACCAAAAGACAAGAGATCGACAGACATGATTATTTGAAACTCCAACATGACAATTCAGCCATAAGGAGTTGCTGCACTGTAGTAATGTAAGCCCATGGGGAGTTCAATATGGAGGCAGGTAGCCTGGCTCAGCTTGTATGAAACTGAAGAAAGCAGCAGGAGTTTTCTCCATTATAGTAAACAACTACCGATTTAGCAAAGATTAAACAATTTGAATGGATTCAAAACTCCCTCAATAAGGAGTGTTGCATCATCACATTAAATCCCAATTTACAGATTCCTCTGTTAAGAGTTTGTGTACAAATCAAGATGCCAAAGCAATGTACATAAATATGTATCTATAGACTGATTGCAACAGGAAGGTTCTTAAAAAGAAATGACTAACACACTATAACAACTAGTATTCAAGAAAATTATTCATAGACAGTTACAGAAACAGAAAATTACCCTACTGGAGGCTGCTGTTATCTATTATAAATAATCCCCGTCAAGATCTCTCCCCTTTGTAATATTAATTTGTTTATTCATTCCCCTCTCCTTGCTCGGCATTTAATAAAACGTCAAAAGGTAAAATGCTGCTGCGAATGCAATTTTAAAAAGAGTCATCCATTAACTTTGCTAATGGAGAAAAGGATTAAATAACTTTAGTTTTTAAAGCAACTGATGTAGAAAATATAATTTCTCAAAATAATTGCTCACTTTCCTTTGAAGATTATAAGATGAACAGGAAGACGAGGCAACAGTTTGTTTCATCTAAAAGACATCAGCTCCCCACTTGTTTTAAAAAAATTTAACTTCATAAGTTAAGATCATGTTGGAATGCCAAGTAGAAATAATTAAAACAAAAGGATTTGAATAGACATTTTACAGTGGAAGAGAGAGACAAGGAGTCATCATTGTGCCTGCAGATTTATTAAGCACAGCGAATGCCATGGCAGTGTTTCAGAAAAGGCAGAATTCCAGACTCCCTTCTGGGACGATGTGGATGATGCTTATTTCTGGGTGTTTCAGAGACAAGAATTCAAATCTCAAGTAAGCAGTTCACATTAGTCAGGTGGGTGAATAGCCTATAGGCTGAGCTCTGCATGGCATTACCTTGTAAATGGGTAGATGCAATATTGAAGAAACTGCATTTTTTTTGCAGATACTATATATTCCTCAAATGGCAGGTATAAATTTCCCCCTGGAATCATCTCCTCGAAGCACAATTACAGTATGCCTAGAGTAATTAAACAGATTTCAAGATATTTACTGTCTCATTACTCTAAAATATCTGGAGAAGATTAATTTTAAAGTGAGGTTAATAAACTAATAAAGAATTGAAAGATAATTGCTACCATAACCCATATTTTACATAGCACAACACATCTTAAACATTGTACAGTAATGTATTAAGGTATCAAAACAAAGTATGATCTATTGAACACCCAATAATCCTAAATGTTATGAGGGGAAGACAGATACTATACTGTTGCCAGTGTTGCAGTCATCACCTATTTTATTACATATCCACTGTTTTATTAATGCTGATTAGAGGCAAGCTTAGAGCAGACATTTTGTGTTGAAATTTTGTTCATCAGCTCAAGTTCCACTCCTAAATGGGATGCTGCGTACAATCCTTGTCCCCACTCACCATCGCTGAGCTTCACAATGTCACACAATGGAGTTTTGTTCCCAGGGTGCTCCTAATAAATAGCAAAACAAGTAGCAGACAGTCTTTCACTTGCAGAGTTTTGTAACATTTAGGATTATATACGCAACTGTATATGCAGTATCACTTCAAAGAAGTATTTATCAGAGCGTAGAAATAGATTTAGTTGCTGAGTAAGAGAAATAACCACAGGTTCTGAATCAACCCAAAAGCAACCTGAATTTGTCAAAGCTCCTATTGGAAAATGCAACCTAGAAGAGAATCTTGTCTTAATGTAATGATTGTATTGTATTCTAGTGCTTGATTTTTCAATGTCCCAAAATACCTAGATCTGGTCAGACAAAACACAATCACTGCAAAAATTAGTCATATTTTGAACCACAAAAAAATTTATAGTTTGACATGAAGGGGACATTAGGTATAGCCCATCCTAGAAGATTTGCACCCAAGTATTGTACAATTTTGGAAGTATTTTCTACAGCTGGTTTGCACAATGGCATTAATATTGGTTATCTTAATATAAAGTCAATCTTTCAGGCCTTTTCACACCTTTCTTTCATTTCTGAACATACAAAAAAAGGTTAGTCATCAGACAAAGCTCCTCCCTAAAAAAAATCCTATTCACACAATAATGTGATTAGATGATGATTATGTGTGAAGCCACAAGTGTGGACCAAAAAAATCAGTGTCTGAAATTGTGGGAAGAAGCATCATTGGGCTCTCGCATTGACTAATGATAGGATCAAACCAGTGTGATGAGTCCAATTTAGGATTTCCTACAGTTCAAGTTGTCAGTCAGTTGTTAATTTGTACAAGGATTTGATGCGTTAATGGAACAAGCTGTAGACGCCATTATGAAACGAGCTCCATTTATCCATATCCTGAGCATGATGTAGCTTTTTGTGTGAAATTACAAATAAAGTAAGGTTATTCCAAATGAGCAGCAGAAACAGACAATAATCGATTACAACATATAACAGCTGTTCCGTAATCGTCCATTCCCAAAGCTCTACTAACTAAATACACAGAAGACTCAGTTACGCAAAACATTTTTTTTAAACTGTAAACTATTTTGACAGCAAAATGAAGAGGAATTTCCATATAAACACAATGTAGAAAGCAACCTCCAACCATAAAGCATATTACTGGCACAGTTGGATTACATAACAAATATGATGGGGCGAAAAAAGTATAAAAAAATACAACAGTAAAACTGTAATAAATACTCAGGGTACCCATCTGCTTACTCCAAAAATCTAACAAATCCAAAGGATGTTTGTCATCTATTTACCTTTTCTATGGGGCAAGAAATATGCAGCAAGTGTATAGACTGAAAGATCAATTTATCCTTTTCTACACTTTCAAGATTTCAACAATAAATTACATTTGTATAGCAAGAAGAATGACAGCAGCATGCATTTATATAGGGTACCTCACCAGGGTAGCATCCCAGAGCGCTTTTATGGCATTAGGATTTATGCAGGACATTGCAAAGCATTAAAAGCATCTGATATATTTTCAACTTTCTATGAATTCCAGTGCTGGAAGACCCCAGGCATCAAGGCTCACCCATCAACAGAACATGATGCATTTGATGGCTGCAGCATATATTTAAATTCATCAAACATCTCAAGTACCTAATCTTCAGTAAAGTGTAATATAAATTTTACCACTCGTTCAAATTCTTATTTAAGGACTTTATTCCCTCCTCTTCCCACACTGATGCTTTCTGCAGCCACGGCAGAGAATTGGTTGCCCCAGGCATCTGCCAACACCACACTGATCAGCAGGCGCTCTGCAAGACTGATCTTGGAAAATATCCTTCCTCTAATTTCTTCCCAACAATAAGATTCCATTTATTGAGCGCCTTTCACGTCGGGAGGACGTCCCAAGGCGCTGTACAGTTGGGTCAGGACCAGAGCAGGGGGGAAATGGTCAGGGGGAGGGTAGGGAAGGGAGGAGGGGGTAGAGAGTCGAGAGGGGAGCTGAAGGCACGGTCAAAGAGAAAGGTCTTGAGACCGGCCTTGAAGGAGGAAAGGGAGGAAGCGGCGAAGGCACTGGGGGATGGAGTTCCAGAGCCTCGGGGCTGAGAGGCTGAAGGCCCGGCCACCGATGGTAGGGCGGTTGGGGCGGGGGATGTGGAGCAGACCGGAGCCAGAGGAACGGAG